CTTTTGATAAGCTGCAAATTCACAATTATCATCTTAGTGATCTTTTCACAACGTATAGTATGCACTTGGACTTCTAACCAGAACAAGAGAAAAATACTGGTTTGGTGATCTGTTCACTATATTGCAACATTTTGCAGAATGAATTTTAATTTCTTTGAACAAAAGCATGTGAAAGATCTTTGTCTATGTGTCATATGTTCAACTCTCAAAAATAAACCTCATTTTATTTTAGATTCCATATATCATTGAGCCTATTGTTTAGTTTGTGGTTTAGTCTATTTAACGTGTGAAAAAGAAACTAATTCTTGCTATAAAACTAACTTGAACTTCTTTGTATTAAGTTCTAGAACTCCTAGAAAAATGAATCCTAGAAAATCTAAGATGATAATTTTCCTGTTTTTCTTTTAGTATTTGCCTTGTAAAACATTGTGGCTAATTGCCGTAATGCTTTGTTAAGAGTGTTGCTTGAAAGCACTAATTTCTAGAACTTTTGAATTTCTGGGATAATGTGTGATCTAAGAGGCTTGTTTGTGTGCCACCTTTGAAGTGTCTTAAACTATTCTTTCTGTAGATCAGCAAAGTAATAGTTCACTGAATTATATAAACTACACCTGTAAAGTAAATTTTACAAAGTAAAACTCTTCAGAGTCCTTCTCTTTTTGAAAAATAATTATTTAATTGCTACTCTATTTACTTCTTTATGGCTCTTTTCATTTTACAAAGGCGTATGTTCTTATCTGCTATCCCATTACATACAACTCCGTAAGGGAGTATCATTCCATTTTATGGAAGAGAAGCATGAAGCTCTGGGTATGACTTGATCTGCCGACAGTCACACAAGGTTTTGAACCTAGGCCTCATGGCTCAAGTTCTAGAGTTCTTTTCACCATGCTAGAGTGCAGGGCTGTTTCTCACTAGCCATCTCAGTGGAGGCAGCGCTGAATAGCATCGAATCACACAGTACAAAGGGTGGCCCGTTTCCTCCTCTCTGCAGGTCCTTGTGATACTCTTAGGTAGGCCAGCTGGAGTTGAGAGAAGTAGTTCTCTCACACCACCCTGACATTGCATTCTGTGCTCATATTTAACAAGGAGAGCTGGTCTCAGACCCAGAGTCTTCATCAGAGGATGATATTTTTAGCAAAAATTTAGCAGCATTGGTTACTATCATTGTATTACTTGAGTTACTTTTTACTTATGAGAAAGGATACACATAAGTTTTTCAGAACAATTGGGCCATTATTCTAAGCAAAGTAACTCGGGAATGGAAAACCAAACATTGTATGTTCTCTCTCCTAAGTGGGAGCTAGCTCTGAGTATGCAGAGGCATAAGAATAATACAGTGGACTTTGGGGACTTGGGGGAAAGGGTGGGAGATGGTGAGGGACAAAAGACTACAAATTGGGTACAGTGTTTACTGCTCGGGTGGTAGGTGCACCAAAATCTCACAAATCATCACTAAAGAACTTACTCATCTGACCAAATAGCACCTGTTCCCCAAAAACCTGTGGAAATAAAAAAATTAAAACATGAGTCACTTTGAAAACCCTGTTAGGCAAGTAATGTTCACTTTGGACAGGGAGATGGCAAAAGGCATGAGGGTTGCATATGAATGACTGATGTCTGAGAGCATCATCCTGTCCCATGCATATATAAAGCCCTGGAGGCTGTAAGGGAGGTTTCAGATTTTTATTATATTTTTCAAAGACTCCTGTTATAGCTGTGTCTTCATGTATGGTATGGTGGGGAAGGTGAAAGAAGGATTCTACTGAGTTAGGAAATCAGTGGGGCATTTTGTGGATGTCCTGCTGCTGGGAATATGCAGTGGCTCTTCTTTGAGTACCACATGGTTATTCCTAATTTTAAAATGTTATCACAAAGATACAATCTTCGAGTTGTTCCATTTCAGTGTGGAGAAGCAACATAAGCAGGCATATGGCCATAATTTGGCTGACTGGTCATATAGTTCCCTCTTTAACCCCCCCATTTACTCTCCCCCAGTGCTGTCTTTGGCGACTTCACACAGGCGCTGTGTCTCCTCAGGGCGCTGTCTTACGTGGGTGGCAGGGTAGGGTAGGCTAGCCATCTGTTATTTTGCCCTCTTTTTCCAACCTTCTTGCTCATAGTAGCAGGTTCCGTTGAAGTGATTGGCTGAAGTCCAGGGAGTGGGGGAGCCATGTGACTTTATCTCAGCTACATGCCTATCTACTGTCTTTAGCATCAGTATAGCAACTGAGTAATATTTTTTGAATGCCCTATTTTACAGATTATTGCCTTTATACGTACAAATCTTATGATGCAAAATGGATTCATTTACAAATTGTGGTGTTAGCTTGTTAAAGGATTTAGTTCATAATTCCTATAAATTTAGCCTAGAAAAGCATTTTTTAATTAAAACTCTAAATTCCAGTGGTGAAAATGGGCTTATTTGATTCAAATATGTGCTAAAGATTTTTAAAGCCCGCAAGCTTCAAGGTTTAGTTTCCCATCTCAACAGATGGAATTAACACAAACATAACAAAGTTAACATCATGGTTGTTTGCATTATTAATCTTCAAATGCATGGCATTCTGCTACCTTGCTAGCCAGGTTTGCACGAATCCTTTCATTGCAACATATGTCAACAGAAATGTGCTTCCATCTGCTGCCGGATAGCTTGATGCCTGATATTCCGAGACAAGGCCCAGCACAATGAGTACCTCTGTGAGTAATTACAGGTGTGTGGTGAGGAGCCTAGGGCATTAATCAGAGGCTTAATTATGAAAAAGGTGGATCTTTTGTTCCACTCTTGGATCCTGAGTTTACCACACACTTTCTAAACTGTAGCATCCATCTGCTCGGTCCCTTAGAATGTTTGCCTTGACTGATACGGACCTTAAAGTGTATCAAAGGACGTGATTAAAGTAGGCTTAAACATTAACCTGGAAGAAGCGTGGTTCATGGATTTTTTCCCTTCCTTCCTTCCTTTTTTACTTATCTATCTATCTGTTTATTTCTGGTGTAGGAAAAAAGTCTGCTGAAATGCTAAAACTTTGAATTAGTACTTGCTAAACTATTTACTATATGTGAACTCTACTGAATTAAGCATTATACAGTAATTTTAAGAATGTAAAGGTCAAGATTTGTAGAAACTAAGACCCATGTAAGGAAAAAAAAGTCTTAGGAAAAATGGTTTGTGAACATATACAAATTTTTTTAGGAAGATAAGTTGTTAAATAAAGTTATTTTTATTATGACAGACTTAACATGTTAGAATTTAGCATGTAACTACTGCTTTGCTCTAATGTGATACTGATAGAATTAAATCAGGATTATTTTTAAGGATTTTTAAGATAACCACACTGAAATCTAAGAAAAGAAACTAGGATTTTGTGTGTGTGTGTGTGTGTTTTGCTTCTTACTCTTATATTGAGACTATAATAAGTTGTGAAACTATAAGTCATGTAACTATATAGTCATGTAACATTTTAGTCAGTGGCAAACCACATATATGATGGTGGTCCTATAAGATTATAGTGCTGTATTTTTACTGAACCTTTTCTGTGTCTAGATGTGGTTTGATATGCAGATAATTTCCATTGTGTTACAATTGCCTGTACTATTCGGTATAGTAATATGTTGTGCACATTTTTAGCCTGGATGTGTAGTAGGCATCTATCATCTAGGTTTGTGTAAGTCACTCTACGATGTTCACAAGATGATGAAATTGCCTAACAGCACATTTCTTAGAATGTATCCTCGTCATAAAGTGACACGACTGTACTTCAGTGTGTGTTTTGATTAATGTACATGGCCAACAGCTGCATAAGTTTGTGATTTGTGGTTTTCTTACAAATTCCTGTTACACACACACACACACACACACACACACACACTTGCACAGATGGCTTCAGAGATGTGGCCTGGCCATGGATGGCATGAATGCTGTCCAGTGGTGGACCCCTGATCTGCCACAGGCAAGAATTAGATATCTGCTTCAGACCAGAGCCGGGGGTGAGGGGCATCCAGCCATCAGTGAGAGGCCATCACAGACACAGGAACACAAGGTGTCTAGGGCAGATGATACTCTTCACACTGCACTCTGTGCAAAAGGCCACTAGTGCACTTTGTACTTGCACCGAGATCACACATATATTCAGAACCATGCTGATTCCCTGACCTTAGCATTTCACTCATTACAACATTACCTTCGTACTCTGCATATTCCCATTTCTTTTTTTTTTTTTTTTTTTTTGAGACGGAGTCTCGCTCTGTCTCCCGGGCTGGAGTTGCAGTGGCCGGATCTCAGCTCACTGCAAGCTCCGCCTCCCGGGTTCACGCCATTCTCCTGCCTCAGCCTCCTGAGTAGCTAGGACTACAGGCGCCGCCACCTCGCCCGGCTAGTTTTTTGTATTTTTTTAGTAGAGACGGGGTTTCACCATGTTCACCAGGTTGGTCTCGATCTCCTGACCTCGTGATCCACCCGTCTCGGCCTCCCAAAGTGCTGGGATTACAGGCTTGAGCCACCGCGCCCGGCCATATTCCCATTTCTTAACACATAAAACTATCTGAAGAGTGAAATTGTCCATCTCGTTGCCTACTTTAAGATATTTTAATGTAACTGTGTGCTTTAACTGTGGCAAATTGAAAGCTAAAGACAGGACATTTGTTTTGTTTTAGTGATAGATATTTGAGGGTTTTAATTGCATATTTACCTCGTTACTCCTGTAGCTTGTCCAAGGAGCCTACCTTTACATGGAAGACAGAAGAAATGTCTAGTCTCAGAGTCATGGTTTAGATTTTGCATAATTCATCTTACAACTTGGTGTCTCCAATCTCTCACCTTTAAAATGGGTACAATAACCCTTGGAGTAGCTCAGTTTCCAATATCTCTTTCATTGAAAATTTTCTGTGATCTGTGCTGTCTTAGATTATTATACAGTGGTCATATGTACCACTACAAACACTACTTTGGAATTTTGTGTTTGAACATTACAATTGTGTTTTCTTATCTTCCCTTTTAGGATATCTTAAACACCATCATAAGGCACTGTCCACCCCGCTTTTTCTCCCTGGGTTTTCCTGGCTTCTCAATGCTGGTGGGGGACTTCATCACAGCCGCTGCCAGGGTCCTTAGCACAGACATGTTGACGGTGAGTATGACAATGCTCAGCATCCCAGCTCCCAAGAGGCTTCACAATCGCTAACAAGGTTCAGATTTCTCCACTCTTAACAGGTGTTGACTCATTAGTGCAATGTGAAACTGGGCTCTCAGGGTAGATACCCTGGCAGCTGATGTGTGAAATTGTAGGATAAGATGACACACTGGTATTGGAAAGGCGTTTCATCAAAAGGCCAAAGTGTGAGAAATCATATCCTCACTAATATTTCAGCACATTTACACAGTCGGAAGCAGGACTTGTCTCTTAGAATATTATTAGCATTTTCCAGTAAATGTTGGCACAGACATAAATGTCTAAAATAGAGAGTTTTAAAATGTACATTAGCAGTATGATTTTTTAAAATTAAGTCTTGGTTATTATAAGTCTCATAGAAAATATTTTCTTAAAATGTTAGAACACTAAAATCTTAACTAGAAGTGAATATGTATTCTCTTAATAACATGCCAGAATACCTTGGCAGAATTTTTGTAATAAAAAATTGGAAGTGGACTAAATGATCAGTAAGGGCTGCAGAAAAATTTATTTTTACTCTTTACATTTACCTTTACTACTAAGACAGTATCTTTTTCTTTTCTTTTCTTTTTTTGTTGTTGTTTTTCTTTTTTTTTTTTTGAGACGGAGTCTCACGCTGTTGCCCAGGCTGGAGTGCAGTGGCGCGATCTCGGCTCACTGCAAGCTCCGCCTCCTGGGTTCACGCCATTCTCCTGCCTCAGCCTCCTGAGTAGCTAGGACTACAGGCGCCCTCCACCGCGCCTGGCTAATTTTTTGTATTTTTAGTAGAGACGGGGTTTCACTGTGGTCTCGATCTCCTGACCTTGTGATCCGCCCGCCTCGGCCTCCCAAAGTGCTGGGATTACAGGCTTGAGCCACCACGCCCGGCTGTTGTTGTTTTTCAAGAGACAGGGTCCCATTCATTCTCCACCCGGGCTGAAGCGCAGTGGTGCTATCATGCCTAGATCACTGTAACCTCAAACTCCTGAGGTCAAGTGATCCTCCCACCTCAGCCTCCTGAGTAGTTAGGACTGCAGATACACACCACCATGCCTGGCTGATTTTTAAATTTTTTGTAGAGATTGGAGTCCCTCCATGTTTCCCGGATTGGTCTCAAACTCCTAGCCTTAAATGATCCTCCTGCCTCAGCCTCTAAAATGTTAAGATTACAGGTGTGAGCCACTGCACATGGCCAAAGCAATATCTTAATGCCTTTTTGAGAGAATACTGTTATACATTTAAAATGAAAGGACCTTTTCCATTTGTGCTCTTTAAGCTGTTACATATTCAGAGTTATTTTTGCCTCTTCAAATGGTATAAATAAAATTAGCTTTACTATTTGCTACGCATTGGTATCGAAATCAGTGTGGCCATCCAACAACCTAAAGCTTGTTTGATATGTGATTACTTTTTCACTTTACTTATTTCTTCTTTTCAGGGTAAATTCAAACTTCAAGCCCTTGGGTTTAAATTAAACTGTTTAAAAATACTTCCTGTAGCTGGTATTTCATGTTGGTGCTTTCACACACTAACTTTTTCTTATAAAGATAAATTAGAAAACAAAGAGAAGTGAAAAGAGACAGGAGCAAAAGGGAAGAAAGGTAAAAGAGAAGAAGAGGCCAGGCATGGTGGCGTAAGTATAGTTACAGCTATAGGAGACTCAGGAAGCCGAGGTGGGAGAATCACTTGAGATCAGGAGTTTGAGTTCAGCCTGGAATCGCCACACTGTCTTCCACTATGGTTGAACTAATTTACACTCCCACCAACAGTGTAAAAGTGTTCCTATTTCTCCACATCCTCTCCAGCATCTATTGTTTCCTGACTTTTTTTTTTTCTTTTGAGACAGAGTCTTGCTCTGTCACCCAGTAGCTGGGACAACAGGCACCTTCCACCACACCCAGCTAAGTTTTGGTATTTTTAGTAGAGACAGGGTTTCACCGTGTTAGCCAGGATGGTCTCAATCTCCTGACCTCGTGATCCACCCGCCTGGGCCTCCCAAAGTGCTGGGATAACAAGCATGAGCCACCATGCCCGGCCTATTGTCTCCTGACTTTTTAATGCTTCTAACTGGTGTGAGGTGGTATCTCATTGTGGTTTTTTTGATTTGCATTTCTCTAATGACCAGTGATGATGAGCTTTTTTTCATGTTTGTTGGCCACATAAATGTCTTCATTTGAGAAATATCTGTTCATAATCTTCACCAACTTTCTGACGGGGTTGTTTTTTTTTTTCTTATAAATTTGTTTAAGTTCCTGCCAGGCTCGGTAGCTCATGCCTGTAATCTCAACACTTTAGGAAGCTGAGGCGGGCAGATCATGAGGTCAAGAGATTGAGACCATCCCGGTTAACACAGTGAAACCCCGTCTCTAATAAAATTTAAAAACATTAGCTGGGTGTAGTGGCACACGCCTGTAGTCCCAGCTATACTCAGGAGGCTGAGGCAGGAGAATCGCTTGAACCTGGGAGGCAGAGATTGCAGCGAGCCGAGATCGCGACACGGCACTCCAGCCTGGGTGACAGAGCGCGACTCCCTCTAAAAAAAAAAATGCTTTAAGTTCCTTGTAGATTCTGGATATTAGCCCTTTGATGGTTAGATTGCAAAATTTTTCTCCCATTCTGTAGGTTTTCTCTTCGCTCTGATGATAGTTTCTTTTGCTGTGCAGAAGCTCTTTAATTTAATTAGGTCCCATTTGTCAATTTTGGCTTTTGTTGCAGTTGCTTTTTGTGTTTAGGTCATGAAGTCTTTACCAATGCCTATGTCCTGAATGATATTGCCTAGGTTTTTTTCTAGGGTTTTTATGGTTTTAGGTTTTATGTTTAAATCTTCAATACATCTTGAGTTAATTTTTGTATAAGGTGTAAGGAAGGAGTCCAGTTTCAGTTTTCTGCATATGGCTAGCCAGTTTTCCCAACACCATTTATTAAATAGGGAATCCTTTCCCCATTGCTTGTTTTTGTCAGATTTGTCAAAGATCAGATGGTTTTAGATGTGTAGTGTTATTTCTGAGGCCTCTGTTTTGTTCCATTGGTCTATATGTCTGTTTTGGTACCAGTGCCATGCTGTTCTGGTTACTGTATCCTTGTACTAGAGTTTGAAGTCAGGTATCGTGATGCCTCCAGCTTTGTTCTTTTTGGTTAGGATTGTCTTGGCTATGTGGGCTCGTTTTTGGTTCCATATGAAATTTAAAGTAGTTTTTTCTAATTCTGTGAGGAAAGTCAATGGTACCTTGATGGGAATAGTATTGAATCTATAAATTACTTTGGGCAGTGTGGCCATTTTCATGATATTGAGTCTTCCTATCCTTGAGCATGGAGTGTTTTTCCATTTGTTTGTGTCCTCTCTTATTTCCTTGAGCAGTTCACATCCCTTGTAAATTGTATTCCTAGGTGTTTTATTCTCTTTGTAGCAGTTGTAAATGGGAGTTCACTCATGATTTGGCTCTCTGCTTGTCTATTATTGGTGTATAGGAATGCTTGTGATTTTTGCACATTGATTTTGTATCCTGAGACTTTGCTGAAGTTTCTTATCAGCTTAAGGAGTTTTTGGGCTGAGAAGATGGGGTTTTCTAAATATACAATCATGTTATCTGCAAACAGATAATTTGACTTCCTCTCTTCCTATTTGAATATGCTTTGTTTCTTTCTCTTGCCTGATTGCCCTTAAAGTAGCCTTACAGACATACATTTGGCTAATAGTACAGTAGCCCCATTTTATCCTCAGTTTCACTTTCTGATATCAGTTACCACAGTTAGTGGTGTCCAAAAATATTAAATGGAAGGTTCTAGAAATAATTCAGAGTTTTAAATTGCACACCATTCTGAGTAGCATGATGAAACCTTGAGCTGTCCTGGCCCATCTTGTCCGGGACATGGATCATTGCTTTGTCCAGTGGATCCACGTGGCATCTGCTACGCACCCATTAGTCACTTAGTGGCCATATCTGTTACCAGGTGGACTGCTGTGATATCACAGTCCTTGTGTTCAGGTAATCTTTATTTTACATAATAGCCCCAAAGCGCAGGAGTAGTGATGCTGTCATATTGTTATTATTGTTCTATTTCGTTATTAGCTGTTATTGCTAATCTCTTACTGTGCTTAATTTATAAATTAAAATTTTTTCAAAGATATGTATGTATTGCAAAAACAATAGTATATATAGGGTTTGGTACTATCCACAGTTTCAGTCATCCACTGAGGGGTCTTAGAATGTATCCCCTTTAAAAAAGAGGGAACTGCTGTATATGAAAAATGCTCAAGATCACCAGGGAAATGCAAATTAAGATCACAATGAGATAATTACCTCCCTGTTAGGATGGCTTTCACCAAAAAGACAAAAGATAAGTGTTGGCAAGGATGTGGAGGAAAGAGAACTCTTGTACACGTTAAAAAAAAAATTCTCCTTTTATTTTAATTCATTATATATTGCCTAGATTGCAATATATAATGTCCATTTATTGCTCCATTCCCTCTGTGATCACCACTTACCAAAACAGTGATTCTTCCTTATTTGAGGCCTCTGACAGAAAAAACTAGGATGAGATTTGACATCACAACCAACACATCCCCAAAGACACAAGTTAAAAACCTATTGATAGGGATCAATATGTATATTAAAACAATATGTATATCAAAATATTACGTTGTATATACTTTAAATATATAATTTTTTTTTTTTAAGGTGGAGTCTCACTCTTTTGCCCAGGCTGGAGTGCAGTGGCACAATCTCGGCTCACTGCAACCTCCGCCTCCTGGGTTCAAGCAATTATCCTGCCTCAGCCTCCTGTGTAGCTGGGATTACAGGTGCCCGCCACCAGGCCAAGCTAATTTTTATATTTTTAGTAGAGATGGGGTTTTACCATGTTGGTCAGGCTGGTCTCGAACCCCTGACCTCCTGATCCACCCACCTCGGCCTCCCAAAGTGCTGGGATTACAGGTGTGAGCCACCACGCCCGGCCCATAAATTTTTATTAATTATACTTTAGTAAAGCTGGAAAGAAAGAATCAACACAATAGAGACTACTCAAATCAAAGATGGTATAAAGATAAATGTAAAGGTCAAATTCACATAAAAAAGTGTTGCCAAGGTAGGAAAATAAATAACCAAGAAATAACCAGAACCTGGAAAAACACAAACTAGAAAATGTGGAGGGAAGAAAGTACTGAAATATAAACCAGGAATGTGCTTCAAAAAATTCAGAAAGGATGAAATACAAAACCAGCTTGCAATAAAGAAAAAAGTGTTATGTTCTTTGAAACTACAATAAAAGAGACATGAGTGCCTTATCTTTTAAGCCTTTTAAAGGCATCGAATTTGCTTGGTCTTTAACACATATATCAATGTTACATAATATTATATACATTTTTCTTTACTATCTGCCTGAGGTATGATAGTAGGAATAAATGTTACAGCCATGAATTGCTTTTTAATTCTGTTTTCAAATATTGCACATGAGTGTTTGGGTTAGTAAATGGTTGGGTACTGGGTATGCTAATCATACCATTTTTTCTACACATTTTCATCCCCTTGTACACTTTCGGTGGGAAGGTAAATTGGTACAGCCATTATGGAAAACAGTATGGAGGTTTCTCAGAAAGTTGAAAATAGAACTACCATATGACCCAGCAATCCCACTTCTGGGTATATATCCAAAGGAATTGAAATCAGTATGTTGAAGAAATATCTGCACTCTCATGTTCAGTGTAGCAGCATTCACAATAGCCGAGATATGAAAGCAACTTAAATGTCTATTGACAGATGAATGGATAAAGGAAATGTACATATCTCCAGTGGAATATTATTCAGCCTTCAAAAAACAAAGGAAATTCTGTTGTTTGCAACAGCATGAATGAACCATTTTTCCAAATGAAAGAAGCCAAACTCAGAAAGACAAATACTGTGTGGTGTCACTTATATGTGGAATCTAAAAAAGTCCAACTCCTAGAAGCAGAGAGTAGAATGGTGGTTCCCAGGGGCTGTGGTTGGGGTGGAGGGAGATGGGGTGATGTTTCTCAGTGGTCAAAAGTTTCAGTTATGCCGAATGAATGAGTTCTGGAGATCTCAGTGTGGTCACTATAGTTAATAATACTATATTATAAACTTGAAATTTTCTAAGAGAGTAGATCTTAAATGTTCACAACTCACGCATAAAGGAACTAACTATATGAGGTGATATATTAATTCACTTGTTTGTGGTAATCATTTCACTACGTATATGTATATGTATATCAAAATATTATGTTGTATATACTTTAAATATATAAATTTTTATTCATTATACTTTAGTAAAGTTGAAAAAAAGAATCAACACAAAATTAATAAAGTAGCCTTCCAAAATGTTTTTTTAAAAGAGAGAAAATATGAATGAGAATGTGAATCTAAGAGTTACATGAAGGAACCACACTCTGAGTGTTAGTACTTTCTTGTTTAAACTTGAGGTTAAAATTGTAGAGGAACTGGTGAAAGGTGTTTGGGCTGGAGCATACTTGCTCAGTCAGAATTTTCAGTTAGCACAAGGTAATTACCAGTTTGAAGTACCCCTGCTAGGTAGGTCTGCCCCACTGAGGCAGTAGGGGAGGGAGATGCACAGATGGCTTGCCCAAGTCACCAAGAGATGAGGAGAAGCTTGTGCACAGCAACATTATTTGTAACGGCCAAAACCTAGAGCCAATCCAAATGCCCATCAGCAATAGAAACAGATAAATTATGGTGTGTACATAAGATGGATTATTATATACAATGAAAACACAGGATCGGTTACATAACATAATGAATGAAAGAAGTCAGACACAAAAGAACATATACTCTAATTTCATTTATTTAATTGAAAAACCAGACACAACCAATCTGTGGTGTTACAGCAGAATGCGGTTACTTTGGGGGAGGGGAGGCTATCATGGGAGGGGCACAAAGAGGACTTCTGTGGGTTGGTAATGATATTCTTCCTGTTGTCTGTCTCTACGTCCTCAGGGCTCCGACCTCTGTCATCACTTCTCTCTCTGTGCACTCCACAAAGACGCATGCATTCAGTTCCTCTGAACACATCTGAGTTGTCATCCCAGACTTTTCTCTCCTAACCTCAGGACAAGCATTTCAAAAACTCTTCTTCAGAACAGTAATCTCCCCAGATACTCTGGGGGAAAGGGAAGGAAGAAAGCCAGGTTCATAGTCAAGTAATTTTGGGAAATACACTTCTTCACTTGGAAATTCACAGCGTACAGTAACACGTTAAACGCTTCTATTTAATTGTGCTTAGACAAATGTCTCTGCAACGTCTTTTTCCTGGGAGTCTTTGTTTTTGCCCTTTTACAGTTGCTGTGGCCCTAGTGGAACATACTTTGGAGACAACTGCTTCTGACCCTTTCAGCCTCCCGTCTCATGGGCACCTGCCTCTTCCCTACTCAGCTGGCTCCCTCACCCACCACCAGCCTGCCTGATTTCTACTCCCCTCTGTGGCCCTTAGCAGCAGTTTGTTTTAGGTTTCTTAAACATCCTGAGCAGAACCAGTCCTTGCCTCATCCCATAGAATAGCTCTGCCGCGCTTTATATTGCCTTTTATTTACCTGTGTACTTACGGGAACCAAGCTAGGTAAAAAATGAAGGACTGGGCTCCCGTGCTATGTTGCTCTCCTAGCAGGTGCTTCACTGAATTGTGTATAGCTGTTATTTGCCTCTCCTCCCCTACCTCACATACCGTGCCTCATCTCTCTGAGAGAGTAAAACTCTCTAATTTTATAGCCTAAGTGCTTAACTATAGGCTCAGTCTGGACCTGGGGCTAGATGGCCTCAGTTCAAATCCAGGGTGATCACTTAGGAGCCATATGGCATTGAAAAGCTACTTAACTTCTTTGAGTGTCAGTTTTCTCACTGGAAAATGAAAACAATAGCCTCTCCTTCATTGGCTTGGTGAGGGGACTTTATGAGGAAATGCCTGTACAGCACTTAGAAGAGTGCCTACCACAGAGTGAGAACTCCTTAAATGTGAGCTTTCATTGTTTTAATTATTACATAATAGTAGACAGATAGATGGACAGATAGGTAAGTAGACTGATGACAGACCTGTGTAATCCCCTATTCTTGGCTAACCACAGCTGCTGTTGTTGACTGAATTGAAATCTAGTGAAATGCCTTTTTTCTTTTTTTTGAGACGGAGTCTCACTCTGTTGTCTACGCTGGAGTGCAGTGGCACCATTTGGTGCAACCTCCATCTCCTGCAACCTCCATCTCCTGGGTTCAAGCAAGTCTCCTGCCTCAGCCTCCTGAGTAGCTGGGATTACAGCTGCCCACCACCACGCCTGGCTAACTGGCTAGTTTTTGTATTTTTAGTAGAGATGAGATTTCACCATGTTGGCCAGGCTGGTCTTGAACTCCTGACCTCAGGCGATCCGCCCGCCTCGGCCTCCCAAAGTGCTGGGATTACAGGTGTGAGCCACTGCACCTGGACGTGCCTTTTTAAATATATACCTAATTCTAACACTGGGCAAATAAGAGAAAAGTATCTCACTAGATATAGTGATATAGTATCTCATCATATGTTGTTTCATAAAGTAGTTCTTGGTGATAGACAGGAAATGTGATAGTTTGTCTTCTCTTTCTACCCTCTGATAGTTACCTCCATCTCTACTTCTCTATGAATTCTCCTTAATTGTTCTTAGCAGCAAAATGATAGTAAGTTGATATCCTTTACCCTGCTTTGTTGAGAACATTAGCAGTAAAACAATGTAAACAGTCATGACAGAGTCATTGGCCTTTCTAATTCTGAATGAATCTGCACATCAGTTTCCACAACACTTGTTTACCTCCAAGTATAGTGATATTTTCCATTCCTTAGAAATTTGTTTTTCCGTTTAGGCAAACCTCTTTTGCTTAAATATTCACCCGGAAGAGAATAACTCGACCAAGTTTGGTATTTTTTATCTAGGATGAAGAATAAAACGTCGCTTATTTAATGTTTCTAACTTACAAAAAGAGAAATGTGTGTGCTTCTCTTCCTTATGTGCAGGCGCCTCGTTCAGAGGCTGTCACTGTCCTTGGCTCTCTGGTCTGCTTTCCAAATACCTACCAGGAGATTCCTTTACTGCAGTCAGTGCCAGAAGTAAATGAGGCCATTACAGGAACTGAAGATGTCAAGGTACATAATGCATTTGACTGTATCTCAAGTTTAGCACTTTTTATAATTCTGGCTGTATGATTATCTCTTCCATTAGTATATATTAATCTGCGTATTCCTGAAATTTTGTTGTATCTTTTAAATGTTTCAGTAGGTGTTTTTAGAAGGCTATTCGTGGGCTATACATACGTTAAATTCAGAGCATATTGCAGTTAGACCTTATAGCTATAGCTAAAGCAGGTGTTTTTTGTTATACCTGTTTATTGGGCCTAGGGATCATAATCATGTAGTGAATTGCCTTTGGTAATAATTTTATTAACTTAATTAACTGCATTAGTGCATCAAGTTAATTTATAAGAAATAATGGAAGTAAGCTAAATACTCAATCACAATTGTTGGCCTGATTAAATATTACTAATAATTTGAGATTCTAAATTATTTATTGGCAAATAAAAGTAAGCATTTGTTCTCTCCTCAGCTGACTTTGAGGTAAACAAAAATGCTTTTAGAATCCCAGAATCAATCAAACTATAAAACATAATTACAGTATATAATTCAATGTACAACATTTAATTCAATTAAAGTAAAAGAAAACCGAGATTTTCCTATCTGGAAGTCTCATTTGCTTTATACCAGAAGCGCTCCACTCCCATGGGCTGAATGGCTTAGGGAGGCCCTGTGGAGACTCCCATCCTCCACCACCCACTCCCCTGAGCCCAGTGTTCTTCTCGCCTCAGGCTCTCACTCATAGATGAGCTCTCTGAGCTCCCTGGTTGAACTTCAGTAGTTCCTGGCTGCCTGGAACATGGTCAGAACATGTGGGAAACCAACTATGACAAAAAGTTTTTATTTTACTTAATTTTGTGTTTTTAGCATTACCTCATAAATATTTTACTGAAGAATGCCACAGAAGAACCAAATGAATATGCAAGGTAAATGTTGAATAAGAGGTAAACTATTTTAGAATTTTAAGATACACATTTATGTGTAAGTAGTTAATGTTACAAAAGAAAACACTTATTCTTTCACATAGCTCTTATACAGACTGAAAAGTATAGGAAGAATGATGCCAGGAAGATGCTTTGCATGATTATTTAAAAAGGTATCATTATTAAGTAAAAATTGTAAAGTGCAGAAGAGTATACATAATACACTATTTTGTGTGAGAAAAAGCAAGATTACAAATATAATCATGTATCCTCTAATTAATTTTCAAGAAGAAAGAAAATGAAAATATAAACCAAATATTTATAGAAATATAAATATATAAATATAAATAGTTGGTGTATGTGTAGGGTAGTGACTCTCAACCAGTGACGATCTTTTACCCCAGGAGACATTTGGCAGTGTCTGGAAACATTTTGGCTGCTTCTGCCAGGCATCTGAGGTAGCCAGCAACCTATGACCAAGATACATGAGGTTTTCTGAGCCACTTATGTGATAAAAAGTTTCTGCCTCTCCTCCCAAGGTGAAGACCAAAGCTGGGAATGCTGATGGAGGGGAACACCTGTCTCCGATCCTCAATTTCAAACCCCATAAGGTCACCAGAAGCCCAGCTCAGCCTCTTACTCCCTCCTAGGAACGGTTCATGTTCTGCTCCCTCTGTAGCCTCATTCCAAGACAACAGCCCATCATTCCTCACTGCCTTATCAGCTATTTGATGATTTTAAGGGTTTTTTTCTCTTGTATTTTGTATAATTTCTTTGGTTATCTTCAGTAGATGGGTTAGTCCAAATTTCCTAGTCTGCTGTTACCAGAAGCTAAACTGATAATAATTTGCAAATATTAAGCTAACATTGCATTTTTGGATAACCTCAACTTGGTTTATGTGATACCAGACCTGGTTTGGCTAATATTTTGTTCAGGAAAACTGCTTTTATATTGATGGCCTGTAATATTCCTTCCCCATCCTTCGCTTATCAGGTTTAATTATAAGGTTATAAAGTCTCACAAAATGAGTTAAGTACTATTTCATTTTCTTTCATTGGAAAGAGTTTTTACAGAATTAGAATTAATATTCTTGTGTATTTAGTAGACCTTGGTGGTAAAACTACCTAGGTCTAATATTTTCTTGATGAGAAGATTAACCACTGACTCATTCTCTTCAGTGATTTTAGGACTATTAAGGTTTCCTTCTTCTTTTTTTTTTTTTCTTTTTTGACAGTATTGATGAACCAAACTTTTCTAGGAATTAGCCCATTTCACCTAAATTTTAAAATATACTGGTATATGAGTTATCTCTATTATATTTTATCTCTTTCACTTCTATGGTTACATCCACTTTTTAAATCTCTGACACGTTTTTTGTATCCTCTGATTTTCTGAAGTAGTCTTGCTAAAGATTTGTCAATTTTATTAGTCTTTTCAAAGACTAGCCTTTGGTCTTTGTTCAACTTCTCTATTGTATATTTGCTTTTATTTCCCACTCTCTGCTCTTTTCTATCCTTCCTTTTGTTTTCTTTACAATCTTACCTTTAAGGTTATATATTATTTTCTTACCTTTAAGGTTATATATTTAGTATATTAATTTCTCCTTTACAGATATAAACATTTAAGACTACATGTTTATTGCTAGTTACTACTTTGTCTGAATTCTATAGGTATCTTTTTGTTACTGATGTCTTAGTTAATTGCATTATGGATCAAAATGTCTTACAACAGTCTGAAATTGTTGAAATTTGCTTAATGACCTACTAGGTAGTCAGTTTTTGTCAATATCTCATATAAACTTGAAAAAAATGTATGCCCTGTTCTTTGTTGGGCATAGTGTTCTAGTTGTGTTTATTAAATTTTTTTAATCCTGGGCTTCAAATATTCTGTATCCTGTCTGATTTTTTTTCATCAGCTTGATCACCTTCTGGAAGAAAAATGTTATAATCTCCTGCTATTTTGGTGTGTTTATGTATTTCTCCTTATATACTGTCAAATTTTGCTTTATATATTTTGAGGCTATGTGATTAGTTGCATAAAAGTTTAGAATTGTCCTATACAGTGAATCAAATATTTTATATTTTTTTAGTGACTCTTTATTTCTAAGGAGGATTTTTTTTATCTTAAAGACCACTGGTTTAGTTACTTTTAAGTAATACTTTCTATTCTTTTTAATTAACCTTTTTATATTCTTCTTTTAGATATCTTTGCAAAAACTGTATATATCCAGATTTTATAATTTTATCCCATCTGATCTTTATTTTTTAACTGAAGCTTTAGGTTCATTTTCATTTGTTATAATTACTGATCTGTTTGGATATACTTCTTTTATCATATGTTATACTTTATTTTTAATAGGAAAGAAAGATCCAATTAAAAATAAGGTACTTCTTTTATTTCTCCTTTATCTTGCCTTCATTTCCCCATCCCCTGTTTTTCTTTCTTCTTCTTTTTTTTTTTTTTTTTGGATTTTTCTCCATTCTATTTATTACCTCAATTGTTTTTAAATCGTAGGCTCCCTTTCCTTCTTTTAGAGGTTATACTAGATATTTGAACACGCATACTTACCAAGCCTGCAGTTAGTCTCTCGTTACTCTCTTCCTGAACAGTGCGTGTTCCTCAGAACATAATTCCCTGATTTTGCTCCTACCTCACTGAACTTTCTCCTTTCTGTCCCCTTTGCTGACCTTTCCTCCTCTACCTAACCTCTGATGAATGTTAGAGTGACTCAGGGTTTAGGGCTGGGCCTATTCTCTGTATGACTTCCTGGGTACTCTTATTCTGATCAGCCTTTAAATACCATCTTCCCTCTGATTTATTTATCTGCCTCTTCATTGAGCCCCTTTTATACTCAGACTTATATATTAAACTGCCTACTTGACATCTCAACTTGAATGTTTTAACACAACTATAACTGCACCCTTGAGTCTGCTTCTGACCCCCCTACCCCGCCTCCGAGCTGACTGTCCCTCAGATTTCATCTCACCACATGGCCCCACCATTGCCCCAGGTTTTCAGTTAAGAAATTTAGAGAAAACCCTTGATTTCTTCTTTTTCCTACACCTACTGCATCTAAATCATAAAGTCTTGGCAATTCTTCTTCCTCTCTTTTTAGTTCAGAAAGCCAAATTTCTGTGGAGTTAAAAACAGAATAGAAATGCATATGGCATGGTCAGCTTTCTGTAAAGAGTATCTGGTCCTAGCACATTGTTTAGAGGAATTAACAGTGAAATTTATTTTGAAAGTTGTATTTAAATATACTTTAAAATAAAATATGGCATTTGTTTTATGTTTGTGGTAGGTATTGTGCATATTACTGTAAAGAAAACAATTACAAACTCCATTTTTGGCAGTTTCCTCAGATTTATGTTTTTTATTCTTCCTCAAAAATATCTTGAAACAGTAAAATGTAATAACCTATTAGTTTCAACAAAACTAGACAAGCTGGGCACAGTGGCTCACGCTTGTAATCCCAGCACTTTGGGAGGCCAAGGTGGGTGGATCACGAGGTCAGGGGTTTGAGACCAGCCTGACCAACATGGTGAAACCCTGTCTCTACTGAAAATACAAAAATTATTTTGTGGTGGTGGGCGCCTGTGGTCCCAGCTACTCAGGAGGCTGAGGCAGGAGAATTGCTGGAACCCGGGAGGTGGAGGTTGCAGTGAACTGAGATCGCACCACTGCACTCCAGCCTAGGTGACAAAGCGAGACTGTCTCAAAACAAAAACAAAAACAAATCAAAACTAAGTGGTACATGGGCTGTGACAATTAACAGAAAATATACCATTCAATTAAATATTTAAGTACTAAACCATTATCAATATTTCTATTTGTCCTGAAAATTGGCCTATTGAGGATTCTTTATCTCTCCTTTCAAGAAGACATTCTGCTAATAAATCTACAATTTTTGCTATTTTGTATAAATAGATTTAAAGTGTTTTGTTATTTGAAAATACCAAGAAAGTTTATTAAGTTTCATGAGAGTTTTCCTCTGTTTTCTTCTTTTTAAAAAGATGCATTGCTGTTTGCTCCCTTGGGGTCTGGATATGTGAAGAGCTTGCACAGTGTACAAGCCACCCTCAGGTGAAAGAGGCCATCAATGTGATAGGAGTAACTCTGAAGGTATTACCAGTTTGTGGTGCTGATTGGACATTAAGCCATATCTGAGGCATTTAACAGTTTGAGTTTGAATTAGCCCCATCTTTTTTATCCCCCAAATGATAGAAGGATTGTGATTCCCATTGCATGTGCTGCGAGGCTCCCGGGAGGGGCACCGACGGCTGCTCCCCTGCTGGCAGCTGCAGCCCAGCCACCAGTGTCTCGAGGTTCCTGGACCAGTGGCCAGATGGGTTCCTCTGGTGGCTGGGAAGCTCCTGCTGCAAAGAGGACACCTGTCACCTGTTGGTGCGAGTGACAAGAGAGTGGGGTCTCGTGCTGTGGCCTCTTCAGCAGGCCTGGGAGAGACCTCCACAGCTTCTATTTAGGCCCCTCAGTGTTTACCATCTGACTGAATCTTGGGCACTTTAAGGACATCTTTCTCTCTTTGTTCTGTTAATGAGAAGAAGAACTGCCATTCCCTGGGCACTCACACTAGGTCGGAGTAATGGCGAACTCTAAATACTTTTGTTAATCTTCAAGACAGCTCTGCAAGATAGATGTTGCAATTTCTGTTTTATACCAGAGGAAATCAAGGCCCAGAGAAATTAGGTCACAAGCCTGAGGCCACACAGGTGTAAGTGATGGAACCAGCAATAAAAGCAGATCTGTGCGGCATTAAAGACAAGCTTGAGCTTTCACATGTGCTGTTAGGCTGCCTCTAAGCCAAAGCTCAAATCCTGCTGGGTCCTTTCCTGGGTCCTGCTTGGAAATGGTGGTAATAAATAGCATTGCCATTATCACCCTTAGGGAACCAGTGAGTGCCTGGTCTCTGCCACGCGCTGTGCTGAGGGTTTTATGTAAGTTTTTAGTTCAGGGGTAAGTGTCCTCAGTTTACTGGTGGAGAAACTGAGGTGCAGGAGCATTCAAGGCCCTAGAATGACCACCTCACTGAACCAAAGTTCAACCCCTGAACCATCCATCCACCTAACACCAGCATTCAGGCTGCTGCGTGCCCTTCTGTGCTGCTGCCACATGCAACTATAATAGCAACGGCACTTACAGCTGACGCCTGGGACAGTCGCCATCAGGCCAGCAACAGTCGCTGTTCCACCCTTTGTGTATTATCTGCTTCTGCGCATAGGATGACCAGCCAGTGCTGTCTCCCACCCTTGGCTTGGCGTCTGGCCCCTGCCTGACCAAACTCAATGCCTCCTGTTCCCCAAGTACACCCTCTGACCACCCCCATTGCTTCATCCTCCCCCATTTCTCCTCCACAACACCTGGGAGTGGAGGTGGGGGTGGTTGTTGTATTATGGGAGCTGGAAAAACACTTGCTGCTGATCCCTGTGATGAGGAATGGACAAATTATCCAACCACAGTATCACAGAAGAGTGCCCCTCCAGCCAGAGCAGGGTGCTGACCGCTGACCTTTGTCAGCAGATTTAATCCTCAGAGCTTCCCTGTGAGGGGAAGTGTCAGTGCCACCTCCACTTCACACATGAGGTGGATGAGCTGACTAGGGACCAAAGGAGCTTGCCAAAGCCAAACCCAGAACACTCTGGCCACATGTGTGGAGTTTTGCACAACTGAGGTGTGTAGGACACCTCCTGACTCCCAAAGCCTTGGAGAAATATTTACATATAATTTATTAAAGTGAAAACAAGTTGGCTATAAATTGTATATCAATGTAGATCCCAATTCATTTTTAAATACCCTTTTTCAATTCTAAGATCTGTTTTTAAATTTTTAATTTTTCTTAAATCTAGAGGTATATAGTTAATGTAAGGCGGTTCCCCCATCTCTATTCCTTCCATGGAAAAACTATTAATAACTCAGTGGTGTGTTAGATTGAAGGAGATAGACACACACAGACACACAGAGTCATGCATCACATAGTGATGGGGATACATTCTAAGAAAGTGTCACTAGGTGATTGCATTTTTGTGTGAATATCATTAAGAGTATTACAGAAACCTGGATGGTTTCTGGACTTTGTGGGATGGCTTGTTGCTCTGAGGTTATAAACCTATACAGCACACTACTGTACTGAATACTGTAGGAACTGAATATTGAATTGGAACACAATGGTGAGTACTTGGGTCTCTAAACATGTCTGGACATAGAAAAGGTACAGTAAAAATATGGCACTATAAGCTTATGGGACTAGTGTTATATCTGCAGTGCTTACCAAATGTTTCCAAAAACATTGTTAGGAGGTACATGACTGTATATGTGTATCTCTGTATAATACAGAAAAGAGATAGAAAATGCTAACAGAGTAGAAGGATAGATAATCTTTCTGCAACTTTTCATAATTTGGGGGGAAAATATAAGATACCAGAAAAACAATGTGGTTACCACATACTGAGCTCTCCCTCTGTCCGCTATCCCAGAACAGCATAGAGACTATCCTGCTGAATCCTCCCGCCTCTGGATAGCAGTAAAAGGGAAGAGGACTGAGGAAGGTCAAAGAACTGGCTCCAGCTTGAATTGCTAAGAAAGCAGAGGGATCAGGATGCAGCCAAGTTGTTGGGTCTTTAACCATTATTAATAACAGGAAACTCATTGACTTAAGTCCTGGTCTCTGAGGACACCTCCCTCCCCACTTCCCTCTTCCCCTGCCTCCCTCTAGTTCCCATGTTGCTGTGGCAACTGGGTTGTTTTACCTAAGGACATAGCACGTAAATCAAAGAACTGAGGACTGGAAGGGAAAGAGTTGCTACAAGGAACAAGAAGAACAGCCACCACTATGAGAACAGGGGATTCTAGGAGGCTTTGGGGTTCTGCCAGGAGGGAGAGAAATGGAGAAAGAGGAGGCAGTGGGGTCATCAGCCCCACCGCCAGCTGAGCCTCCGCCTGCTTTTTGGGTAGCGGAGAGTGCAAGCCCTGGCAGGGCTTCCTGCTTTACGGGCTCCACGTAAAGCCAGTGCCACCTCTCTTGTAAGAACCCTTCAGAAATGCCCTGCAAAGGTGACCTAGGTGTGCCCTTGAATGTGCAGAGCATTCCACTCAGCGAGGCCTTGCTTGGCTGGTTTGTTTATGGTGGGCATGGGGTGGTTGGGGGAGGTGGTTCTAAGCCATAGCCATACTCACCAACTCTTGTGAGCTGTCCAGCCCTGCTCCTTTTCCCACCCCGTCTTCTGAGACATCACTGACTTTCCTCCTTCTCCTTACCCCATTGTTGTTTCTGGCTTTGAGTCCTGCCAGCTGTACTTCCTTAATGCCCATTGAATGCCCATGGTCTGTCCCACCCACTACCCAAGTCCATCCCTCACACAGCTTACCCTGCCAATATGGAGTCTCCTGATCAGAGTCACCAGTCCTAGACTGGCCCCCAAAGATCACTGTTCATACCACTGTCAGCGGGATATGTCCACACACAGGCTGACCAGTACAGCCCCCAGGCTGGAGCGCTCATCATGGCTCTCTGTCGGTATTCTGTGACTGTATGCTGGAGAAGTGAGAGAGCAAATGAATGGCTTATTTCATCTCCACCATTCCCCACTCCTTCATTACATGTCAGTAACACCACCCTGCTTGCAGCCCCCTGTATCTGACCGACCTTTCCTACCTTGGTGCCTGGGCCCTGCCACCCATGCCTGGAAGGAGACCCCACATCCCCCCTGCGTTCTTCCAGGAGCAGCTTAGCTCTCCTCTCCTTCCACGTTGCCGTCTCTCTGCCTGTTTTCCCCCAAGCCCCATGTCCCATTACTCTCTGCCCATAGCTTTTTTGTCTTGTCGGTCAGCTCTCAGAATTTCCCTTATCTGTTTCCAGCTTCTTGAGTTCAGAGCTTTGCCAGCCTTATCTTTCCACCTGGTGACTCTACCACTGTGGTGCAGCAGCAGCACACACAGTGCCCGCTCATGTTCTCCCACTCCCTCCGAGTTTCATCTTCACCTTAGGCACACCACGCACATCCTTAAGGGGGGCATGCTAGGCATTAAAGATATAGTGGTGAACAATATATGCAGGAAATAACAGACAAAAAGGTCAGCTCTGATAGCCTGTAATGCCATGAAGGAGATCTAATAGGGGAATAGGATGAAGCTGAAGAGCTGAGGGGGTGGGCCACCACCCAGCTCTCGGGGCAGTGTGGTGGCCTGAGGGAGGAGATGACATTTTGTGCCATAATTTGAAAGATATAACAATGCAAGCCACATGCAGACCTAGGGATTAAGTGTTCCAAGCAAAGTTTAGAAGGAGCAGGTGCAAAGGCCATGGGGCCAAAGCAAGCCAGAGTGTTTGAGAGATGGAACAAGGCTGGTGGAAATTGTATCGTCTGGGATGTGGGGTCTCTGTGGCCAGGGAAGGCTGTGAAGAGCCCCTGAGTGCAACTACTACAGTCCTGGGTTCAGCTAGTGCCTCTCAGGTAGGGGTAGTCAGTAACTGTTTATTCTGTAGAATTAAAAACCTTTCCCTTTCTTCTTCCTTATTCTATACATTTGTCACTGAGGCACTGAACATTGATGATGGTCTGCTTCATGTGGCTTAGAGTGAGGTGTCCCTACACCAGGGTCAGTGACGAATTTTTCCTGCCGTACATAATGAGTTATGGATAATGGTATAGCCCCATGTTCTGGCCAGGGAGAAGAGCACAGGGTGCCCTTGTCCCTTCTATGCTCTCCCAGCATGAAAAAGTAAGACCCTTAAGGTGCTGCCCTTAGACATGGTACGTCACAATAAATGGAAGCATCCAGACCTTGGTGATGAGTTGAGATGCATGCCAGCCTCAGGAAACGTACTCAAAATAATTGAGTATACCATAATTCCTTCGTTATCTTCTCCTATACTCTAACTTTACACATTCTTAGTATGTTATACATGTAGGTCAAGTTTTATTTCATAGGATAGAAAGCCATTTAATCAATCCCTGTTTCTCCATATGTAAAATGAAAATAACATCTACCTTGCAGAGCTGTCAGTGAAGATTTATCAATGAGAGAATGAGTAAAATCCTTGTAAAAGGTTCAGCGTATGGGGATATGTTTTAATTTCCTCTATTTGTCAAAAATATGATTTCTGTGAGCTGAATAAGAAATTTGAAATTATGGTTTTAATTTCCAAATGAGTAAATGAAAGCTTCTTGTTCCTGTAGAACGCTATGTAAATTAACACAATGAGGCTAGAGAAGAGGCAGTTTTAAAATGATGATGTGACGATGTCTAAACTCTCTGGTAGTAAGACATATTTTTCATCAATTTGAGGCAAAACAGATAAATGTAATCTATAAGGAACTGAGAGGAAGTAACTATTTTGTCCTTAAGAATGATGTACCTGTTAAGTTATGTGTCTGCTTTGGGATTTGGTTTCCTTTTATAGTTTCCCAACAAAATCGTGGCCCAGGTAGCTTGCGATGTGCTTCAGTTGCTGGTTTCCTACTGGGAGAAACTTCAGATGTTTGAAACCTCTCTGCCTCGGAAAATGGCAGAAGTAAGTCTTTTTTTTTCTGGAATACTAAAACATAAGCATTTTCTTTTTATTGTATTTGATATTTAATTAATTATAAATGTTCAAATAATTGTTAGAGAACCGACTATTAAATTGCCACAAGTCACTCGTTTTAAGACTAAGTTAGACTGGTTCTTCTCAGCTGTGATTTCAGGCACTATGTAAAGAAGCCAGCAGTGTTCCAGACAGAGGCTTATACTTGGGGAGTTTGAAAGGCAGGCACGACCACAACAAAGAAACCTTTTGTAGATTGGGCTTCATTCATCAAGAGCAATTTGGATGGTGCCAACAAGGAGTAGGCAGCTGGTTATGATGCCCTCCGTGAGGGGTGGAGGGGGCGGCTGTTGTGTAAAACAGAAGTCTCTCCCAGACTAAAGCCCTGGACCCCACTTTCTGCCCTAGCAGGATTACTGGCCGTAATGAGATTGCTACCATGATAACCTCTGTGTGGGTAACTGGTGGGAGAGAGGGGTGGAAGGAATAGGAAGAATCTTCTCAACAGTCATATCCTGAAGGCCACTTGCGTCCAAATGTGCTTCGCCTGTACACAAGCAAGCACCGTCACTCCCATAGGTGTCCATGGGATAAGGCACTTCTACTGAGTTTTATAGCTGCACTTTTAACACATGCCCTGTTCTTATACATCCAGTGGTAACTCTTCGAGGAAATTTGATTTGTCCCCGTGAGGTATTACAAGGAGAGAGAAGAAGTGATGTTGGTTTATTTTCTCTCAGCCCTAGACAGATTTCCCTGGAAAGATCACTTTGTTCTCTCAGAGGTACATTAAAAGGCACAAGTGATTTTTGACCTTAAGTGACCTAGAGTGAAATGGAGTTTGGACATGGGAACATAAAATGCTCTGAAATGGAAAGTAGGGTTTTGGGGTGACGATGTAATTTATTGTCTAAATGGGACTGCTTTTGAGAATGAAAGGGGTGCTGTTTACACCAGGACAGCAGGTGGAGAAAATGGGAGCATTTTCATAATTATTTTTGGAAGTGTTTTTTCACTTCACTATGAAAACTGTGGAAACTGATGTTCAGAATTATGTGACTGCAGAGAGAAATACTCTTTTCTCTGTCTTCCCCCCTAATTTTTCAACCAGAAAAGTAGAGTAGAAACTGGATGTGACCCCATTGTCTTTTCCTAATTTTCAAGATCACCACACAGCTGGCCCTCTGCTTTGTATCACCTTTCTTTGGTGAGTTGGCACCAAGCTGGCTTTAGTTGCAAGGCCATCGTGGGATTCCTAACATGGGCTTACAAAGGCTTACAAATATGGTCTGTTTGATTGGGGATTTATCTTTTATGCAGATCCTTGTGGCCACAATTGCTTTTCTTTTACCAAGTGCAGAGTACTCCTCAGTGGAAACAGACAAGAAGGTAGGTGGCACATTAACTAAGTTTTTCCTAGAGTTTTTATTTTAATGTAAGGTAAAATGATAAATAATGTTACAACTAGTGATATCCTTTGTAATATCCTTCTCTATTGGCCTTAACAGTCTTTTTTGTGAAAATGCTATTTATTTATTTACTTGCTTACCTGCCTATCTAGCACCTGCATGTCCACTGAATACTATGCGTAGGGACAATTCTCTTATTACTGCTTGTAGTGAGGTTTAAGAGACTGCACCATAAGTTACCGGGCATGTTCTTCTTCCAGTTTATTGTGTCCTTGCTACTCTGCCTCTTGGACTGGTGCATGGCATTGCCCGTGAGTGTCCTTCTCCACCCCGTGTCCACGGCAGTCCTAGAGGAGCAGCATTCGGCCAGAGCCCCCTTGCTGGATTATATCTACAGGGTGAGTCTCCACCTGGGTCTGGGGGAATGGAGTGTGGGTTTATATGCCAGAGAACCACCAAAATATGTCTTATGCATGTACTTATTTGTCATTGCCCTTTTGAAAAGGATTTATGGTGGCTAAACTTTTTCTTAAAAAGTAAATAACTTGGCCAGGCACGGTGGCTCACGCCTGTAATCCCAGCACTTTGGGAGGCCAAGGTGGGCAGATCACGAGGTCAGGAGATTGAGACCATCCTGGCTAACAAGGTGAAACCCCGTCTCTACTAAAAGTACAAAAAATTAGCTGGGTGTGATGGCGGCGCCTGTAGTCCCAGCTACCCCTGGGAGGCAGAGCTTGGAGTGAGAGGCGATCTGGCCACTGCACTCCAGCCTGGGCAACAGAGCAAGACTCCATCTCAAAAAAAAAAAAAAAAAAATTATAAATAACTTAAGGACTGAAAGCAGAACAGATATAAAGAAGCAGTGGTTACCAAGTTAAAGATGCATGCATTTTACATGAGTATCATCTTTATTCTTTAAACAACTGCAGTTTTGTCAGAATTCTTCAATTTTCATGGAACATGTTCTATGTCTACTTAAGAAAGAACTGTTCATATTATAGGGATATCTACATTAACTTTTTCCCTAGGGCAAATAACTTCTTTTTAAAAAATTAATTTATTTTTGTTGCATATATTAGATGTACATATTTTCAGGGTACATTTGATAATTTGATACATTCACGTAATCAAATCAGGGTAATTGGGATGTCTGTCTTAAATGTTTATCTTTTCTTTATGCTAGGGACACTGGAATTATTGTCTTCTAGCTATTTTGAAATGTACAATTGATTAATGTTAACTACAGCCATCCTACTGATCTATAGAACACCAGGTCTTATTTCTTTTATCTAACTATTTGTATACAGCATTACTTTGACAAAATCTGTTTATCAAAGGAAGAAAAAGGTTTAATGGTCTCAGTAATCATTTTGCCTCAAAAAATTCTTAAGAAATAAATTAAGGAATTATTTCACATCAAAGTAATTAGCTTCATCATTTTTATAATACTTAAAATATTCTTAGTTAACCCCCCACCCCTTCCCCCCACACACATACACACTGATGACTAGGGGTGGCCTTTGCTCTGGATTGCTTATAATATCCTTCTGTAATTTGTCTTAACAGTCTCTCTCAAACCTTGGCTATTCATTTAGCATTTGCATGTCCACTGAATAATTACTGTTATGGAGGGAAAAGTCTGTGGTTTACTCTTTTACTAAGAAACCTTTAATAATAAAAGAAGAGTCCAAGTCACAGACTGATTACTTTATTGCCTTATTTTTAAAAGTCTTACTTTAAAAAAAATACCTAATTGTGGTTGAAATTCTACTAAAAAGTATTTGTGTATTCTTAAACGGTTTCTTCAGTAGTTAAAGATTCTAATAACTATATTAGGATTCATTAGATACTTCTGTTATTTTTGTGGCTTATAAACCTGTACAGAGCTTGGTTTGGACCAACTGCATTAGCCACAATCACTTATGTAAATCTCTTTTCTGAGTTCTTTCTTTTCTTAAAGATTTCTCTTAAAATTGCTTTATCACTGTAAAAGTCACCTCGTAGTAAAAATTCATGAATTTACTAAATAACTGTTTGTTTTGTATTTTAAGAGTAAACTTTTTATTGAAGTATAATATGCTTCCAGAAAACTGCACCAGTCTGTAAGTGAAAGCTTGATGAATTTTTACCAAGTGAGCATGCTTGTAAAATCAGAGCCCAGATCAGGAAACAGAACATTCCTGGCATCCTGGAAGCCTTCTCTGTGCCTCCCCCTAGCCACTGGCCCCGTACACATGTCCAGGGATAGCCTCTATCCTGTGTAACAGAGTAGAGTAGTTTTGCCTGTTTTGAACTTGATACAAATTGAGTCATACAGTATGTCTTCTTTTGTCTGACATCTTTTGCTCAATATTATTTTTTAGTGATTTATTCAAACTGTTGTGAATAGTTGCAGATTTTTCACTCTTGGTGATAGATAGTATTACACAGAATAAACCACAATACATTTATCTATTTTACTGTTCATAGACACTTGGATAGTTTAGAGTTTTGGACCCATAAAATGTGAATATTTAGGGTTGTTGTTTTGGGTTTTTTGTTTGTTTGTTTTTTGTTTTTTTGTATACACACATATGCATTTCTGTTGGATGTATACCTAGGAGTGAAGTTGCTAGAATACATATATTCTGCCTTACTGGTAAGCACCAAATAATTTTCCAAAGTAGTTGTGCTAGTTTACACATAGCATGTGGTTTTAATGTACACTTCCTACATTTATTGCATTTTGGCTACTAGAAATTAATTATCTCAGTGATTGCAGCTTAATTTTTAAATGAATAACAGAGCTGCCATAAGGATTTTCCTATACTGCATTTTTTGCTAGGAAGAGGACATAGTCAAGTGGTTGCCCTGACAACTGTAATTCTTGGTACTTTGTAGCCATTTACAAAGGGTACCTGACCACAAGGCCTCTTGCCATGTCAGCAAACCAAAGCTAGTCATCTAAAAGTGAATTTACTTTACAGAAATATATTTAACCCAATGGTGTTTTCTTAGTTTTTCAAGTATTACCTTGATTCTTACAGAAATCAGTGTTTGGAGTTTATGGTCTTGAAGTTATGATTAAAAAGGGAAATCTGGTACAATCATTACCTCATTTATGCATTTTAGCATATTCAAGATGATTTGTGTTTGCATGGCTTGTATGTGTACAAAAGCTCAAATGAGTAGATAGATTTTCAGTCAACTGCAGTTTGTAAACTACCAGTGAACTTTCAGGAAACTAATCTTGTCAAAATAAGAATAATTTTAAAATTGTATTAAGTTAGCCCTTACAATTCATGGTGTCATGAATTATACTAATTTAAACTCATGTCGTGCACTAATGGTCTCTGCTTGTTGTGCTCATTCCACCCTCCACCATGGTTGGCCTGTCCCACCACTACCCTTCATGCCCTGATTAGTTCCTTCTACCTGTGCCACCTTTGGTGGACAGGAGGGGGACTTAGGTATGTGCAGTCACACAGAATGTGAATAAGTACTTTTTGACTTTTACTTTCCTTTTGCCTTGAGAACATATTTCTTGGCATTGATATGAAAGGAGCAAAATAAATTTGCTAATACTAAGAATATATTTAAGAATGGTCATTCCATTTCCAACTAGGACCAAGCAGGAGTCCTAGCTGTCAAGTGCAACAGTAGTTTGACAGATTGTCAGGGGACACGAGGTGGGTAGCATCCATGGTGCACATGGCCTCTGTTTTCACAGGTTCTGCACTGCTGTGTGTGTGGCTCAAGCACGTACACCCAACAGAGTCACTACACACTGACCCTAGCTGACTTGTCATCCACGGATTATGACCCCTTCCTGCCACTGGCAAATGTGAAGAGCTCTGAGCCAGTCCAGTATCATTCATCAGCGGAACTGGGTAACCTGCTGACTGTTGAAGAGGGTGAGTGAGTATTCCTTCAAGTATGAAACCTTGTGAGAAGGAAAAGGAAGGATTTAGCCTTTTGCCATGCTTGCTGTACTTTTTTTTTTTTTTTAAACTAGTTGTTGAAGTTGAAATCCTAGTTCCTGGAGTCCTCTGTGATGGCAAATTCTGCCTTCCTTGTTTCTTCTTTTTTTCTATTTTTTTTTCTCTGCTGTTTTCCCATTTTAGTAGTTCAAATGGTTTTTGTATTATTCAAGACAGGTATGTCTTAGATCCTTGGAACTCACAAAAAGACTCATTTTCTATCCTCAAGGAGCTTTACATCTAATGGAAAACACACAGTGAAGTCCAGAAGGACTCATTGTGGACTGGTAGCACCATGAGGGCTTTCCATGAAGAAGGACTTAAGCCAGACTTAGCAGGGTGGACAGGTGTTGAAAGGAGCTTGTAGATTGTTCCAAGTTAGAAGAGCATCATAAAAAGAGATGGAAATGTACTTGCTACAGTTTTAGATTTGCTCTGCTCATAGCAGAGAGTCCATTTTAGAGTGTATAGGGATTGTCAGGACTTAGAGCCTGCTGTATTTCTTACTTAAGCACCCCTCTCCCCAGAATGATAAGAGCCCAGCTTTGGGCCTTGGAATGGGAGTCAGAATGTGGGTATATTGTCTATACATATGATAAAATTGCATAGAACCAAACACACACACACACACACACACACACACACACACAAATGCATGCATGTAAAACTGGTGAACACTGAATAATATAGATGGATTATTATCAATGTCAATTTCCTGACTGTGATGTTGTCCTGTAGATATGCAAGATGTTACTCTGAGATGAAGGGTATTTGAGGTCTCTCTGTATTATTGCTTACAACTGCATGTGAATCTGCAGTTGTCTCAACACTAAAAATTAGAAGAAGGCTGAGCCTGGTGGCTCCCACCTGTAATCCTGTCACTTTGGGAGGCCAAGGAGAGCAGATCAGTTGAGCACAGGACCTGTTGAATCTGTGAGGTCAAGGCTGCTGTGATAAGTGCCACTGCACTCTAGCTTGAGCGACAGAGTGAGGCCCTTTCTAAAAAAAAATAAAATAAAAAAAAATTGAAAGGGATGTAGGTGTGAAGTGTTAGATCATCCATGAAAATTTTATGGTCTTCACAAGTTAAAAACCTAGGCCCAAAAGTAGAATCATGTAGGCAAAATCATCCTTAAGGACAGCAGAGTGAAGAATGTCAGCAGGAAAGCAAAGTCAGAGAAGTAGAAAAAGGACCAAGAAAGAGTCATTTCTAGCAAGTCAAGGAAGAAAGGTAAGAAGTTGAGAAAGGTCAGTAGTGCTAGTTGCTTCAGAAAGCTTAGGGAAGGTGAGAATGAAACAGGAGCTGTTTTATTTCCCAACTAGGTGTTTGGTGGTAGGTTTTGCCAGAGCACTTTCACCAGAGTGGTGGGTCAAGCCAGATAACATGAGCAGGTGACCTGTGCAGTAACAATCACATCCCTGAGTCAGACTCCTTTTGTGAGGCCCTTGGTGGAAGGAGGAAGGACACAGCAGGCAGTGGCCAGGTGAGGGAGGACCAAGGTCCAGAGGTATGCTTGCAGCACTACAGAGTCTGGAGCAAGGTTCAAGCTGACAGGAAGGGAAAGGTGAGATGAGGATGAAAAAGACAGGGGGCGGGGGTGACAGTCATGAGCAATGGCTTAAAATCTAGCAGTCCTGATTTTAGCTCCATTTTGTAGATGAGCAAACTGAGGTTAAGGGATATTCGCAGGGGTGTGTACAAGTCAGAAGTAAGGGAGGTGGAATTTGAACCTAAGGTTTAATGACCAAGTTCCTAAAATACATTATTGACTCTGAGATTTTTGACGTGGAGTAGACTTAACACTCTTGTTTTGAGTTGTGTTGGAGGTGATTGATACATGGTTCATTTTCACATTGTTCTCTTGATTTGTTCTCCATTTATTTAATCATTTAATTGTTTATTTCTGGAGCTCTACTGTCTGTTAACTGCAATGTCTGCTTTACTTTTCCCCCCACAATGATAAATTATTTTTATTAAGTAATTGAAACAACTCTTAATCTATTCGTTTTGTTGTTCCCTACTGTAAGTTCATATGTCTTATAATAAAATTTATTTTTTCCTAAAGTCATCAATTTATACTCATCCCACATGAATATATTCCTAAAACATGGCTATCCCTAAAATAGGTTCACCATTTATTATGAGTTGCCACTTAAAAATAGCAGAAGATAAATAGGTTATTGAAAAAGGAAAAACCTAAAAATACACATTTAAATTCTGGCACCATTTTTCTTTCAGTGTACAATTATCTTTTACCTGAATATTTGTTCTCCAAAAAACATCAGGAGCTAATGCAAACATTCCCAAGATCTAAAGTACTAAAAATAATTGCTTAAACTTCTCTGACAAAGGAGTTTTTACAATTCACTGACATATTAGCTAAGCAAATAGGCAAAATGCTTAAAAACATATTGGTATGCACATCCTTGCTAAGTGGATACATCATATAGAAAGTGAAAAGGAAAAATGAAGGTGATAGTGTAGGTATTTTAGGTTAAGCAAGAAAGAGCTCAAATTTGAGGGTATTTTTTTTCACTCAATGTCGTACTTCATCATCCATAACAAAACTATCTCTGGTCAGGTGGCCAGGCATGGTGGCTCACGTCTGTAATCCCAGCACTTTGGGAGGCCGAGGCAGATGGATCACGAGGTCAGGAGATCCAGACCATCCTGGCTAACATGGTGAAACCTTATCTCTACTAAAAATACAAAAAATTAGCTGGGCATTGTGGCAGGTACCTGTAGTCCCAGCTACTTGGGAGGCTGAGGCAGGATAATTGCTTGAACCTGGGAGGCGGAGGTTGCAATGAGCCGAGATCGCGCCACTGCACTCTAGCCTGGCGCCAGAGCAAGACTCCATCTCGAGGGGGAAAAAATAAATTTATGTTGTTTTTCACCTTTTTCTGGTATCTTGTTGAGTAGCTTAATAATCAGCCTTCTAAATTCTTTATCTGGTATTTCAAAGATTTCATCTTGGTTTAGATCCATTGCTGGGAAGCTAGTGTGATCTTTTGAACCTTGTTTTATCATATTACCTGTATTTTCTGGTTCCTTCTCATTTGTGTAGACTGTTTCTTCAAATTGTTCTTGAATTTATTCTTGATTTGACTGTATTTATTTTTTAATTTCTCTTTCCCCTCCTCTTAAATATGTGACTTTAATGTTTATAGTTTATTATAGCCTAATTTGATTTTGCTGCTTTTAGAGGTGAATATTCTATATGAGTTTCTTGGTTATATGGAGTCTTTGTATGCTAAGTTTCTCAGATGCTGATTGTAGTAGTTACGTACTCGGGATGTGGGCAATTTCATTGTCTCCTGTGGAATTGGAATGGCAAGGATCTCTTGAAGCTTATATCATTTCCCCATGGTATGCACTTTTTCATTTAATTTTTCCCCAGTATTTTATTGACTCTCTTGATGATCCAGGCTTCAGGCCAGTAGGGGAAGTATCTCTAGATAGAAACCAGTTGCAGCTAAAGCACGTGGTTAGATACAATACACAATGGTGGGCTGAGGCCCCAGCCTTGATTAATGTGGCTAGGGGATCTCTCAGTTAGATGCACTGAGTTTTATCAGGGTGAAGAGTGGGAACTAACTCAGCTCTCCTGTCAGGCCAGCGGCGAGAAAGTTACCCACCTCCCAGCCTCACTCCTGTCCTAATGTTTCGGCTGTTCACATCAGACAGGCACCTCTTTTCATCTGTAGGGATGAGGGATGTTGATGTTCCATGTGGAAAGGAATTATGATTCTGCCTCTTTTGCAAGCCTAAACTCGGAGAGTGCATCTGTGAGGATGCAGTCACCATGAATTGTTCCAGGAGGGCTATCTATAGGTGCATTCATGCTGAGTTCCCATGGAATAAGTTCCAGTTGTGTCTATGGTGGTTGACAAAGTGGAGAACAAGGACCCTTTCTCCACGAGCCTTCACGAGCATGCAGGCTGCCTTCCTGTTGGGGTAGAGGTTCAGACTTTCCATGTTGCACCCAGCGCTGCAATTGTGTCTCTGCTGCAGAAAGATGTGGGACTCAAGCCCTGCTGTCCAAATTCTTTTGTCCCTTGGGGTGTTCCCTTGATGTGGTGCTCTCCCCCTTCCCCTAGAAATAGGAGGTCTTGATAGCCAGACTACAGTGATTGCTATTGCTCTTCTGGGTCTAGCCACCCAGTGGGGTTGCCACTCTCCAGGCTGGTGCTGGGAAATGTCTGCAAATGATCATCCAGTGATGTGACCTTTCTTCAAGTCTCCCAGCAGTGGGTACTCCAGCTGTGATAGAGGTGGCAGGGGAGTGACGTAGACTCTGTGAGATTCCTTGGTTATAGATAAGCTTAGTGTGCTGGCTTTCTTGAATGCTGGTTTTAATTGTGGTTAACTTTCACCTGGATAGGCTCAGGACCTCTGATGGCTAGCGTATTATGGGCATTGGTGATAGCTAAGGTCATTTAGCCATTTTCTCCTTCCTGGGCACAGTGTTATTCCACCTGTAGATGCTGTAGTGGGCTGCATCAGCTAGTTCCAGCCATGACGTGGTGCTTGCAAGAGAGCACCAGCTGCAGTACTAGCTGTGGGATTTGAGCTAGCCCTAAATTGCCTAGGGGAAATAATCTGGTTTCTGAGGCAATGGGCAGGGCTGTAAAGCTCCTACAAGTTTGTGTCCTTTGTGTTAAGCTACCTAAGCTACCGGGGTGGGTGCAGGGATACATACCAACAGGTGGGGATAGGGTTGAGCAGATCTGTGTTCTGACTCTCCTTGAGTGGGGCCAGCCATGGTTCCTTTGAGGGTCAGGGGTGGTTCTCAGGCAGTGGGGTAATGTTCCAGAGGTAGTATAACTGCCTCTGCTGCACAGAAGAGTTCACAATGGGAGTGGAGTGTAGCAGGCAGCAGTAAGCCTTGCCCAGCTCCCATGCAGTTGGCAAGGCCGATGTCACTCCCTCAGTGTTCTTACTAGCAGCACCAGGTTTAGATCCAGGCAGTCTGCACACAGAACCCAGATCTGTCCCAGGCCATAAGCTTTCCCACCTGGCTTTCTAGCCATGCCCCTCCTATCTGCCCATGATGCAGATGTGTCTGCAATGCACTTCCCTGTCCCCTCCTTACCCCCCGCCCCTGCCGGTTCTGGTCAAAGGAGTTCATCCCTGCTCGAGATTATATCATGAAATTCAGTTAGGAGCACCTTTCACCCTGCAACCCCTTTCTGAGCTAGTTGACCGGCTTCCCCAAGGTCCCCTGTGAGATATATTCAGGTGTGGCTTCCCTCAGTTTATGCTGGAGACTGGGAATGCCTGCAAGGCATTTGCTGCTGCTACTTCTACTTTTATGTTTCTCATCACTCCCTTAAGCAGTTCCAGCTCTGGGTAGGGTTAAGGCCTTCTCCCATGACCTGGATTTTCAGATTCCTGTGTGGGGATGTGTATTCTGAAGGTAGTCTCTCCCACTCACACTCTGAGGATTTATAGTTTTTCACCTGTCTCTTGGAGTAGACTTCAGCCTTCTGCTTCTTTCAAAGGGTCTGTGGATTCTTGCAGTTTTCCTGTTGAGTTCCTGTATTGCTCCTTGGAAAAAAGTTCACAGTGTAAATCTCTACACACTATTCTGTCCTTCCCAGTGGGAGAGGCACGCTAACACTGCCTCCAATCTGCCATCTTCTGGATTTGCTTCTATAGCCCTATGGACTTCTGTCGGCAGGTTTTATATTGGGCTGTGCAATTTGACCTATAAGCCAGTAGATGGTGTTTATGTGTAAAAGCTGGCTGTGGGTGATGTGGCCAGATATATACTTGATCCTTGTTTACCAGGAGAAGCTCTCTATTGCCTCAGGCAATGGGGTGATCCATGGAGTGCACAGTGGTCTGAGCTCCCTGCTTAGCTCTGGGTGGGCAGGGGGCAAGATGGATTGAGCCAGACTGGACAGGCTCATTTACAGCTCCCCTGGTGTTGGGCACAAGTAGCAGTGCTGAGGGAGAATCCAGTGGGTGGCCATCAGGTGCCCAGTGATGTGCCTAGGCATGGAGCTGGGAAATCTCCTTGGCTCCCAGTTCTCTGCACAGGCAGAGGGGCACCTGAACTCCTGATCAGGAGAGTGGGTTTGGGTGCTCCAGGTATCTGTAAGTCTGCCTGGGCTTGGAGTTCAGAGGGCTCTGCTATACTACAATCTCTGCACAAGAAAGGTGGGGTGGCTCAGGCTGGTAACCCAAATAAGCAGGCACTGCAACTACCTGGAGATATGCCTGGGCATGGGTGGAGAGGACCCCACTTCACCATGGTCTCTGCACAGGAAGGGCAAGCTGGCTCAGTCTGCTGATTCAGGTGAGTGGGTGCTCTGAATGCTTGGAGATCTGCCTGGGCATGGAGTGGAATGGGCTCCACTGTACCATACAGGAAGCCCAGAAGCTCAGGCCGCCAATCTGGGCCAGGAAATGTGCCGAATACCTGGAGATCTGTCTTGGTGTGGAGTGGAGAGAGTTCCCCTGCACCAGGATCTCAGCAGAGGAGGGATGGAGAGACTCAGGCTGCTGAACCAGGCAAGCAGGAGCTCTCAGTGCCTAGAGACCTTCCTGAGCATGAAGCAGAGAGGGTCCCCCTACTCCAGGATCTCTACATAAAGGGTGAAGCAGCTTACACTACCAGTCCAGGTGAGCAGGTGCTTTGAATGCCTGGAGATCTGCTTGGGTGCGGAGCGCAGAGGGCCCTGTTGCACCACAATCTATGTCCAGGAAGGGAAGCATGGCTCAGGCTGCTGGTCCAGGCAAGCAGGTGCTCTGAATGCCTGGAGATCTGCCTAGGCACGGAGTGGAGAGAGCCGTACTGTACCATGATGTGTGCACAGGAAGGTTGGGGCGGCTCAGGCCGCCAGTCTAGGAAAGCGTTTGCCCTTACTGCCTGGAGTCCTGCCTGGGAGTGGAACAGAGAGGGCCCTGCTGCACCATGATCTCAGGGGAGCAGTCTGGTGCACTCAGCAATGACACATGCAGACTGATTCTATGTTGCCAAGCTGGCCCTGGCTGCAAGTCTCATTGCCCAGGAGAAACTTCAGCTGTAGCAGCTCTCTCCTCCCACCCCAAGCCTGCAGTTGAGAGGAGCACAATTCCAGTGCCTGCTGCTGAGGCACTTTCCACAGTTCTGGCTGTGGAAGTCCCTACCCCACTCCAGAGCGAGTGCTCCAATCTCTCAGTTCCGGATCTAGGAAATGCCTGCAGCTTTTTCTGGTGTCTTTTCCTCTCAGCACCTCCAAGCCTGTCCCCAAGATAGCTCTGGGGCTTGGGAGAAACGTCATTCTCTGCCTTGGCCTGGGTTGCTTGGTTCCCCAGTGGAAAGGTAAATTACAGAGGGAGACTCTTTCTCAGGTACTGGGGCTTCACTCACATCAGCTGGATGCCATCACAGGGGCTGTTTGCCTGCATTGTCCTCCCTGAGATCTGGAACATCCTTCATGATTCCAGTGAATTCCCATTTTCCTTCCTGAATTAAAGCTCAGAGAGTTGATCTTTTTGCACTATGTTACTATTTCTAAGTGGCTGAGGCACACTAAAAGCCTGTAATATACCATATTGGAACTGCCCCCTGCCCCCCCTCCCCAAAAAAGGAGTTGAGTTTTAATCTTCATTCACCACTGACTCTTTATGTTTCTTTACTGCTGTTTACAGAGAAGAAGAGAAGAAGTTTGGAGTTGATCCCCTTGACTGCTCGAATGGTGATGGCCCACCTGGTGAACCACCTGGGGCACTACCCCCTCAGTGGGGGCCCTGCCATACTGCACAGCCTTGTCAGTGAGAACCACGACAATGCCCATGTGGAAGGCTCTGAGCTGTCCTCTGAGGTGTTCAGAAGCCCAAACCTGCAGCTGTTTGTATTTAACGATAGCACCCTCATCTCCTACCTTCAGACACCCACAGAAGGACTGGCAGGAGGATCACCAGTGGGCTGTCTCTCTGATGTGAGAGTAATTGTGAGGGATATCTCAGGGAAGTACTCTTGGGATGGTAAGGTTTTATATGGACCTTTGGAAGGCTGCTTAGCACCCAATGGAAGAAATCCTTCATTTCTGGTTTCAAGCTGGCATCATGACACATTTGGACCTCAGAAAGACTCTTCTCAAGTTGAGGAGGGGGATGATGTTCTTGACAAATTACTTGAAAACATTGGCCATACAAGTCCTGAATGCCTTTTACCATCACAGCTAAATCTAAATGAACCTTCCCTACCCCCATGTGGCATGAACTATGACCAAGAGAAGGAAATTATCGAGGTCATTTTGCGCCAAAATGCTCAGGAGGATGAGTATATCCAGAGTCATAACTTCGATTCTGCAATGAAAGTCACCAGCCAAGGGCAGCCCTCCCCAGTGGAGCCCCAAGGACCCTTTTATTTCTGCAGGTTATTGCTTGATGACTTGGGAATGAATTCTTGGGACAGAAGGTAACAATCCATGCTAGACCTCCAGTTATTTTATTATTTTCATGTACTTGTATTTTTTTATCAGTTTGTGGTTGGGGAAGAAGAAAAGATTGGAGAAGAGAGAAGAGTGGAGATTTTTCTTTATTTTAACATTTGCAGCTTATTTTCTGCTACTAAATTAAAGCTAGAAGTGAAATTATGCTGTACTGGTGTGCAGACTGAATTCCAAACATGTTGGATATTTTAAAGGATATCAAACATTGTGGGGGGCGAGGGCGGTGGTGGTGGTTGTTGTTTGTTTGTTTTTTGTTTTTTGAGACAGAGTCTTGCTCTGTTGCCCGGGCTGGAGTGCTGTGGCGTGGTCTTGGCTCACTGCAACCTCCGCCTCCCAGGTTCAAGCAATTCTTCTGCCTCAGCCTCCTGAGTAGCTGGGATTACAGGCGCCTGCCACCATGCCCGGCTAATTTTTTGTATTTTTAGTAGAAACGGAGTTTCACCATGTTGGCCAGGCTGGTCTCGAACTCCTGACCTCATGAGTCACCCGCCTTGGCCTCCCAAAGTGTTGGGATTATAGGTGTGAGCCACTGCACTTGGCTGAGGGTGTGTGTTTTACTTATTGCTTTGTCCATTATTGTTTCTGCCTTCATGCAGGAAGCAAATGAACTACAAAGGTGAATAAGCCACAGTCTAACCTTAGGTCTGATGTGGGAGATAGACCTAATACAACTCTGATAAAGGATAGAATGACCCAGGAGTTCATGAGTAATGATTAAATCCAATGGGAAGTACAGAGCAATGGAGAAGACTTTGTGGAAAGGGGCGGATTTGAGCTGGACCCTGATAGTGGAGTGGAGTTTTTAAGAACAGAGGTGGGGAAAAGGGATTCACAGCAGAGCTGACACTGGAAACAGACACAGTCACACAGTCACATGCATATAAGTCACAACACTCACCAAAGAGCCATCTGTGTCACTGGGTAGTAATGGGATGCCGGTGGAATTTTTATACCTTTGCATGTCTTAAGGAGAATGGAGTTCATTCTGTAGGTTTCTATCACAAATATTTTGTGAGTGAGGTGGTAGAGGATGGGTGATAGGTATTTTTATTAAATTACTGATTGAAAAGCGGCAAAATGGTTCTGTAATCACATGGTTTTTCTTCCATCCTTTTTTCTTTATAGGAAGAATTTTCATCTGTTGAAGAAAAATTCAAAATTATTGAGAGAGCTAAAAAATTTGGACTCCCGCCAGTGGTATGTGAAAGTATATCAAATCACTTTTTTCCTGTTTGTCTCTGGGTATTCTTGGATAACAGATACAACTGCAGGAATGAATACACTTACTGAGACATCCAAGGATAGTTCTGTAACCTAGCATCTGGTGACATTTGCGCATGCCATACCTTTGGTGTTTTTTACTATAAGGAATAAACTTTCATGTTTGGTACACTAAAAAGAGGTCACCACTCCCACCTAATCTGTACTTTTGATTGTCTTTCTTTGTGGCTGCCAGAATTCTCATTTGATCTCTGCAACCACCTCTTTATGATGAAGAAAAAGTTTACCTAGGTTAAACAGCCCATGGTTGCTCATACCATGTTATCTAAAGCCAAGTGAGTCTGACTTCAAAATCCATGCTGTGTACCAAGGCGCTAACATTCTGTACTTGTGGCTTCATAGTGTTGGAAAGGTTAAAACCAGTGTGTTGTAATTAATAACTCTCTGTTAATAAGCCTCATTCTCCAAAGCTGGCCAGACTCTCAGATCCACCCCTGTTCTATACTATCTCAGAAGCATTTCTATAGATGAGCTCACAACCATGAAAAGTGTTTGATTTGGGGAATGTGTGTTTCCAAAATCATCTAAGTCAAGAATAAGTATAGTACTTGGTACATAACAGATGTTTCAAAGTTTTGAAGAGAATAAGCTGCCTCCTTAATCTTTAGTTTTTAAAAAAACCTCTTAAAAAAAAAAAAAACAACAACAACAACTTCATTCCCCTTTTATTCCACTTAGGAATATTCTGATATTCTCTGAGCTCTCAAATTAAAAATTCAGGTTGTTTTCCTCAAGTTTATTTTTCAACTCTTCACACTATATTTTATTCATTACATTTTTCTTACTACTCGTTAACTCATAAATTTTTAAATCCGTTTTGAGCTATATGTTTTTAAAGGGTGGTGCAGTTGCTGGCTGAGAAGTAAGAAGGAAGAAAGGAAATAACAGAGTCCTGCTTTATCTTGACCAAAGTCATATCCTAGAATTTCAGAAAATTACTAGAGCTCTTTATTGTATTCATTAAATCCTTCATTCATCCACTCTCACACTTCTCTTCTAAGTCGTGAGCTTCTCCTGCTTGCACTTACAGTGATGAGTTATAGCCTGCTGCATGAATATTTTCGCCATCGTGTGTGTTTCAGTGGCTTTGTGATGGTGTTATTGTTTATTTTAAAGTTTTGATCAAAACTCAAAGTGACACGTGCTTAAATTTTATTGTCAAGCAAACTCTTGGTTCATGTCAGTATTATTTGCATATCACCTTGACAACTGTATTTCTTCTTTGGTGTTTTGAATTCTTGAATTGGATGTAAACCCAACTATCAAAGTCCAGTTGGAATTTTCTTTTAAACACTTGGAAGATTATATTTCAGAAAGGTCTTTTGGTGATGTCACTAAGGACTGAGTAGATAAAATAATATTAAACTTACAGCTGTGTATTGTTACCATCCTTCAGAAGCATGTGGTATTAAGATGGATTTGTTTGTATTGACCATTTTATGGGAATCAGAAGGGCATAAGTTTTTTTTTTCTTTTTTTCTTTTCTCTTCTTCACCCTTCTACTTTCCCACCTGTCTCCCAGGTCACTCAGGACCTCTTATTGCATCTCATATTTACACACATGTTGAGGTATGAACTGTTTCGTGTATGTTTCCAAGTCTTGGGAATGTGACAGGATGGCTGTTCCAAACCTGATTCCCTCTGCAGAAGGGGATATGAGGGCCTTTTTTCCTAGGTGGCCTTACTCTTCTCTGGAGAGTGATAAATATTTCAGTATCAAGAAATATACAGACATTTTTTTAAAAACACAGAATTAAAATATTCATTTGTAATTTTACCTGGATAAAGGAGCCATTCTCAGTCCAGAAGCCTGCAGCACCATTGCCATTTTAAATGTCTTTGTTTCCTGACTTATCAGGTGAAACAGTAAAAGATTTGAATTTGAATAATTTTTTAAAGTCATTAGAAATGAAAAACCTGAAGCTGCCATTTCTCACCTTGCCCTTCACTGTATTCCATTTCCTGATTATTCTTGTGATTCCTTTTCTCTAGAGGAACATAGATCAACTTTTCTATGGAAATTCTGTAAGGGATTTATTCTGAAGAACTCAGGGATTCACCATCCTCTCCCTCCTTCCTTCGGTATTAAATAAGCAGTCATTTGGGTTCCACACTCAGCTTTTTAAGCATATGCTGAATTATTCCAGGCTTCTTAGTATTAAGTGAATACTTGGTTTCATGTAATTGTGGTCAATTTGTTGAGTGTTAATGCACTTTAGTTGCATGAGGTACAATTGAATTAGCTCCCTGGGGTACTGTTGCAGCGAAATACGGCTTTGAATAGCTGAGTGGCAGTCCCCTCCCTGCGCCTTGATCAACCTTCACTTAAAACTCCAACTCCTGGATTTAGTGTCTTCGACATCAAATGGGTATCATTTTAAGGTGAAGGGTGTTTTGAAGATTCTTTTTGAAGAAACTAGAAATAAGTCTGGTACTCCTCAGCTTTGAGAAATCTAGACTGCCCTGTATTTTGGTCAGGTAGCAGGTAACAAAATACCTTGTCTGTCAACTTTCATTTAGAACATTTCTGTTTAATTCTGTTATCAATTTATCTCACTGCTCTTGATGCATAGTTCCTTCTTAACATGTTCTTTGGAAAAGTTGAGGCTATCTTGCAGCTATGGTCTAGATTGTCAATGCTTTGATGAATGTACATACAAATCACAGTGGGCTTCCCTTTTAGATATAAATTCCTTCTTGCCACTACATGGGGAGGTGGATGTTAAAATCATGCTTTCCTTTGGCTTTTTCATGTGACAGCACAAGGAAACTGAGCTATTCTGGTCTATTCCTAATAAGAAAGAACAGTGCATTCTAATGAGGAAGGGGAGATTGTTAATTTCATGTATGTGTGTTTCTGAATTACCTGCTCCTTCATACATTGGTGTACTTCTTATGGATGTGAAGTGCTGTTGATGTTGCTAATTACCATTTCAAAAGCATGGTTCTAATAAGGCCAGACACAGCTTCTGCATCCTAGCAGACTCTCTGTGTACTAACATTTTGGAGAACGTGAAATTTGATGAATGTTTACAACTAAAGGTCATCTTTCCTCACACTCACATTGGTCAGCCCCATCATTCAGGCTTAGCTCTCTTGTGCTCCCACATTGAGTTAATGAGGGCTCAAGGACTTAGGAACAGCTGCAATGGAAAAAGCTTAGATTTTTAAGGAGAATAAACTGAAACATTGTAGATAAACCTGAGGTTGTTTTTATGTATGTGAAGTCTATAAAACAAAGAAAAATTAAATGCTGAGGATTTTTTTACATATGTAGAGAGACCTGCAGATAGAAATTGAATAACTATACTTCTCCACCTTTGTTGAAAGAGGCAGTCTTTTAGGTCTTAGGTTATGTTTCTGTTATTATCCAAGTGCCCAAATTTTTATAGCACTTGGAATAGGCTAGTCAGATTCTACGCCATTGGTGTCCCCTGCCTGTTGCTCAGGGCAGTGAATGGTGTGGCACTTTCAGGGCTTCCTGCTGCATGAGGACAAGCTTTCTAAATTTATTTTAAGGACATATTAAAGATATTGGGGCTGGGCATGTTGCTCAAGCCTATAAAGCCAGCACTTTGGGAGGCCAAGGTGGGTGGATCACCTGAGATCAGGAGTTCAAGACCAGCCTGGCCAACATGGTGAAACCCTGTCTCTACTAAAAATAATAATAAAAAATTAGCCAGGTGTGGTGGTTGTGTGATGGCACGCACCTGTAGTCCCAACTACTGGGACGGCTGAGGCACAAGAATCACGTGAACACAGGAGGCGGAGGTTGCAGTGAGCTGAGATCACGCCACTGCACTCCAGCCTAGGTGATGAAGTGAGACTGTCTAAAAAAAAAGATATTGTGAAAAGATTAAAAACATTAAAGATTATCTTTAAGATGTATTAAAGATTACGTGAAAGTGTCTTTTAAAATAGAAGCAACCTAAATGAGGATTTGGGCTATGACATATTAATATAATGGAATGTTGTTACAATCATTAAACCTCTGTTGTAGAAGCACATGATATAAAAGTCTTCACACTAAAAAATGGTTGAAATGGTGAATTTTATGATATGTATATTTTACCACAATAAAAAAAGTGTTCACAGATATTGTAAGTGAAAAAATCTGTTGTAAAGCAGAATGTAGTAACTTCTCATATGTGCATGCAAAAGTGTATCCTAAAATGGTGTAACGGCTGTGTTCTTTGCTTATCTGTTGAAATTGCTAGTGATTTTTATTCTTCTCTTTTCTTTCTGTATTTTCTAATTCTTCTTCCAAATATGTTTATTACATATAACCTATGGGGGAAGTGAATAAGCTATCTTAGTAAAAGGAGAGAACTCTCTTCCTCCAGTTATTTGTGTAACTTTTTAATTGAGAGTTAATTAGTTATGATTATTAAGTAGAGAAATAATGCACACAGAAGGAAATCTTAGAGAATTTGTTAAAATATGGAGCTCAGTTCCACCAATATGATATCTAATCAAATTACAATGTTGAAATATTAAACAATTTGACAGAAAAAAATATTTCTGTATTTAAGAACTTTATAGTTATTCCTATGAGATTTATCAGAATGTAGTATAAAAAAAGGAGAAAGGTGGAACCGCTCTGGAAGTGGACATCGAAACTTTAAAAAACCAAAACTCTTGGATGATTGGGCTAGGGAATGAATGATTCATAATTAAAACTCCGTTTGAATAAGAACAGTGTTTTCATCTCTAAACTATCACCAAATGCTTGGTACAGCCCCAGGTATTTTGTCGCTTTACTCCAGGGTATAATTTGTAGAAATTTATTATTAATGCATTCAAATGTATCACCTATATATCTGGTCAGTAACAGAGATTTAACTGAACACCTACTGTATACAAAGCAGTATGCTAGATGTGCAAAAGAGAAAATGGCAGGGCTTCTTTTTTCAAAGTGCACATCACTTTTGCTTGATTTAATACCAGAGTATCCCAGATCTATCTTGGAACAAGCAGATGGAGGGTTTTGGCTAAAAGGGGTTCCCCTGACTAGCTGTCCACCTTGTCAGGCACCCTCAGAATAGTCAGAGCCCAGGGGTTAGTAACCCCTTCATGAAGAAAATACCTAAGTGTGTTCTGCTTGGAAAGATATTCTTTTTCTCATAAAATCGTGGCATATTTTATAGTTCCAATCACAGAACCACCCAGTAGCCTAAAGTGTGAGTTAAGTACGGACAGTCACATAGATCTATTCACAATTTATATCTATTTGGAATACTTTAAAAGATTATTTTTTACCAAAAACAGAGAACTTACCAAATGTTGTGCCCCAACCTGCTGGTCAGTGTATCTTGTATCTGAGGGTATGATCTCAGGAAACAGATGGCCTTGCTGCAGTTTCCATCCCCTGCTTGCTGGGTGTGCTTTTTGTTTCACTTTCTGTGCCTCCTTTCAACCACCTCTGCTAGGGAGGTGATAATAATACTCATCTCTTTAGCACGTTTGTGAAGAATAAATGAGACCATGTGTCAGACCATCTCAGAACACTGACCCCTAGCAGGTTCTCAGTAAATGTAAGCTCAGTGGTAGAAGTCATGCTGGTTGTATTAATAGTAGTGAGGTAAAATTTTACATGTAAGAATTCTAACTCCTTTAAATTTAAAAATTTATAGCCGTGAGACACACAAAATCGCAGTGTTTTACATTGCTGAAGGTCAAGAAGACAAGTGTTCAATCCTCTCTAACGAAAGAGGAAGCCAAGCATATGAAGACTTTGTTGCTGGACTTGGATGGGAGGTAATGCATTTCATTCAGTAGGTGTTTATTGACCAGCACTATTTAAAGATGTGTCCAAAGTAGACATTGTATAAGTTTTTACATGTGCTTTTGCATTCAAATATAGCATAGGTAGAGTTCTGGAATTGAAGAATTTATTGGATTTGACATCTATTAGTTGCTTGTCAGTATTTAATATATGAACTTTTGTTTTCCTTTAACTTTCCTCTTAATATTTTTTCATTTGCTTTTTATCAGAACTGAATAGTCAGATGGGCTCTCCCAGCCATAGACAGTTTGTAGTAAGAGAAGATAAATGTGGGCAGAGAAGCAATGGCTTTGGCCACAGTATGGAGATTGAAGAAGAAGTCAATGACTTGATGGGTGAAAAGATGAAGAAAGAGTTGGATGAAGTCAAAAGTTGCAATGAAAATATAATATAATAGCCATGATGGTTTAGCTATCAACCTATTTCCCTAAGGTAGATCTCAGGATGATTGATGTTGGAAAAGTTTATTTTTTTCTTTATTAAATGGTACTCTGACATACAGACATATATACATTTATACACACACACACACACACACACACACCCCTTTCCCCCCAAAACATAAACCTAAACAAAAAATTCCTAGAATCTGAAAGAATTAGGAGTAGTTACAATGGAAATCAACATATCTAAAATAATTTACTTATTTTTTTTCTTTTTTTTTTCTTTTTTTCTTTTTTCTTTTTTTTTTTTTTTTGAGACGGAGTCTTGATCTGTCACCCGGGCTGGAGTGCAGTCGCATGATCTCGGCTCACTGCAACCTCCACCTCCCAGGTTCAAGCTCTTCTCCTGCCTCAGCCTCCCAACTAGCTGAGACTACAGGCACGCACCACCACGCCCAGTTAATTTTTTTGTATTTTTAGTAGAGACGGGGTTTCACCGTGTTGGCCATGATGGTCTTGATCTCTTAACCTGGTGGTTCACCTGCCTTAGCCTCCTAAAGTGCTGGGATTACAGGCGTGAGCCACCGCATCCGGCCAATTGCCTTATTTTTTATTAGTTTCTTGAGTACCTGTGCTGTGAATAACTTTCTGGGTGCCTTTGAGAGCTCAGTGCTAGCAAGGGGACTGAGGTAGGGATGGGGACAGGGTAAGAGTACATGAGAATCAAAACAACATCCTTACTAAGGCAAGTAGGTTTGAGTCTAACAGTTGCTGCACTTCCAGTAAATCATTGTTCTTACAAGTAAGGCTACTTCTAATTTGTCATAGAATATAGTTATTTAATATATTTTTAAGTCATACATTATCAGTTAGAGTTTTAAGAGTATATGTTTACTGTATTTGGCACAGAGGAGATTCTTCTATTTCTTTTTTCATATGTTTTAGAATAGGTATTTTACTGAAAGAATACTAGTCTATGACAAGTTAAACATTTTGGATAAAGACACTAAGAAGTGAACACTCATGCCGTAACTTTAAAATGAATTATGACTCATAAACTTTCAGCAGTGGTGTAAAGTGGTTGTTCAACCCTTTTGAAAGGCAGTTTAGCAAAGTTTGCTGAATATTTTTAATATTGGTACCTTTTGACCCAGTGTCTTAGAAGAACACTCCTTTGAGTGTGCTTTCTGATTTAAAAAAGCAGAAACCCCCAAATTCCATCAATAGGGAACCTATGTATACACACACACACACACACACACATATATATACACACACACATTTATACATACAGGTGGGAAAAAAGTTAGAGATTATATACCAAAAGTTTGATAGTGGTTTTATTCAGTTGATATGATTATAGAGCACTTTCATTTTTAATGTTTTTTATTTCTTTAACATCTTAATCTGGTCTAACTTTGTATTACATTTGTTTGTAATCAGAAAGAAAGATATAAAAATGAAAATAATTTATGTTTTTGTGAATTCACAGTCCTGCTTAGTGAAAGAACAGCTCATTGTTGATCCTCACTCTTTCTTCTTTGTGATCTTTGTCAGGTGGATCTCTCCACCCACTGTGGGTTCATGGGTGGCCTTCAGCGCAATGGCAGCACCGGGCAGACAGCCCCTTACTATGCTACCTCGACTGTGGAAGTGATTTTCCACGTTTCCACTCGAATGCCATCAGACTCAGATGATTCCCTCACCAAAAAGGTAAGGCGTCTCCTCGGGCACCATTCTTAGCTGCCCTGGTTTGTTGGTGAGGTTCTCCTAGGACAGACAAATACAAAGGTAGAACGCATACTGAGATGGTTTCCTCTGAACTCTACGACTCTGAGATTAAGGTTTAGGAAAAGAAAGGGTCTTAAATGTTACTTTTGGATCTTCCCTCCGGTGAATATTACCTGATGGAAAATGACATTTTTGATCTCACAGATTGTCAAAGGTTACAAAGTATGATAACCCTGTACTGGTGGGGCTCTGGGAAAGCAGGCCCCTCCGAGGCTTGCTACAGAGCGATTTGGCAGCATCTGTCAACTTAAGTGCAGGTGCGCAGCTGCCCAGCAGCCCCACTGTTGCTCCTTACCTTTTATTCTTCAACTTGCTCTGTGGCCAGTTTTCCTTAGAATTCAAAGGAAACCTTATCCATCCCTGAGGAACCTCCCCCAGGGAACTTGGCCTTTACCTTCCAACCTGCAGGATGTTTGCCTCGGGCGACCCTGTGTTAAAAGTGAGGAGCGCCTTAAAAGAAAAGGCATTTGACTCTAGGAAGGAAGCCTCTAATCAGATCTGCTTCTGTAAGCTTCCAGATGAGGAGAACGTCTCAGAGCAACTGTGATTTGCACTCACTTGGCCTGCTAGCAGGTGGGGAACCTAGAATTCCCACCTTTCTCTCTCCCTACCACATAAATGCAAGGGACTGAGGGCAGCACCTCACGTGCTGACTAAGGCTGGCCATTGGGGAGTCTACTGTGGTGGTTATAGCCAGACCCCGGTGACAGGCGCAACAAGGATCAGGTGTATATTCAGTTATTTCATCAGCCTGTGCCTCAGTTTTTCATCTATTAAGTGAGATAAAAAACACAGCCTATGTTACAGGGTTATTGAGTGAAGTAAATGAGGTAATTCCTATGAAATTATGAAATTGCTTAGCACGGTGCCTGGGACGATGTCTCTGACCATCATCCCTCATTATTGCCCGTTGGTCTAATTGATTCTTTTTTTCCCCTGCCCCATTAGCCAGGTGCTTTATATTGGCAGATTGGCCTCACTGTACCTGCTTTATTTCTTTATTGCACGGTTTTGCTTTTTCACCACTGCAACCACAGATGTCTGGACTATGTACAGGCATACCTTGTTTCGTTGTGCAGCACTTTATTGCGCTTCACAGGTATTACATTTTTTACAAATTAGATATTTGTGGCAACCCTTAAACAAGTCTATCGGCACCATTTTTCCAACAGCAGGTGCTCATTTGTGTCTCTGTCTCATTTTGTAATATTCACAGTGTTTCTAACTTTATTATTATTATTATTATTATCATCATCATCTCATATGGTGGTCTGTAATCAGTGATCTTTGATGTTGCTATCGTAATTATTTTGGGACACCACAAACTGCCCATATAAGATGGCAAACTTAATTGATACATGTTGGGTGTGTTCTGACTGCTTCACCCACCGGCCGTTTAATAACCCCGTGTGGCCTCAAAGTATTCAAGTGAAAGGAAAAATTGGATGTCTCTCACTAGAAATCAAAAGCTAGGAACGATTAGAAGACATGTTGAAAGCTGAGATAGGCCAAAAGCTAGACCTCTTTAAACATTTACCCAAGTTTTGAACATAAAGGAAAAGTTTTTGAAGGAAATTAAAAGTGCTACTCCAGTGAACACATGAATAATAAGGAAATGAAATAGCTTGTTACTGATACGGAGAAAGTTTTAGTGGCCTGAACAGATCAAACCAGCCATAACATTCCCTTAAGCCAGAACCTAATCCAGAGCAAGACCCTACACTGTTCAATTTTATGAAGGCTGAGAGAGACGAGGAAGCTGCAGAAGAAAAGTTTGAAGCTTGTCAAGGTTGGTTCATGAAGTTTGAGGAAAGAAGCTGTCTCCATAAAATGAAAGTGCAAGGTGCAGGAGCAAGTGCTCATGGAGAAGCTGCAGCTTATCCAGAAGATCTAACTAAGATCTCTGATGGAGGTGGCTGCACTAAACAACAGATATTCAGCATAGTAAAAACAGCCTTCTATTGGAAGAAGGTGCTATCTAGCACTTTCATAACTAGAGAGGAAAAGTTAATGCTTGGTTTCAAAGCTTCAAAGGAACAGACTGAGTCTCTCATTAGGGCTAATGCAGCTGGTGACTTTAAGTTGAAGCCAGTGCTCATTTACCATTCCCCAAATTCTAGGACCCTTAAACATTATGCTGAATCTACTCTACCTGTGCTCTGTAAATGGAACAACAAAACGTCTGTTTAGAGCATGGTTTACTGAAGATTTGAAGCCCACTGTTGAGACCTACTACTCAGAATAAGAGATTTATTTCAGAGTATTACTGCTCATTGACAATGTACCTCATCACCCAAGAGCTCTGAAGGAGGCGTAATGTTGTTTTTCATGCCTGCTAACAAAATATCCATATTCTGCAACCCACAGATCAAGGAGTAATTTCAACTTTCAAGTCTTACTATTTAAGAACTTTCATAAGGCTATGGCTGCCATAGGTAGTGATTTCTCTGATGGATCTAGCAAAGAACATTGAAAACCTTCTGGAAAGGATTCACCATTCTAGATGCCATTAGAAACATTCATGATTCATGGGAACAGATCAAGATATCAACATTCACAGGAGTTTGGATAAAGTAGAGTCCCACCCTCATGGATGACTTTAAAAGATTCAAGACTTCAATGAAGGAAGTCACTGCACATGTAGCAGAAAGAGCAAGAGAATTAGAAGTGGAGACTGAAGATGTAGCTGAATTACTGCAATATCATGATAAAATTTGACTGGATGACGAGTTGCTTCTTATGGATAAGCAAAGAAAGTGGGTTTCTTGAGAAGGAATCTGTTCTCAGTGACGATGCTATGAACATTGTTGAAATGACAACAAAGGATTTAGAATATTCCATAAATTTAATTAGTAAAGCAGTGACAGGGTTTGAAGAGTATTACTCCAATTTCAAAAGAAGTTCTGCTGTGGGCAAAATGCTGTCAGATACCATCACATGCTACAGGAAATCTTTCATGAAAGGAAGAGTCAATCAATGTAGCAATTTCATTATCTTATTTTAAGAAATTGCCACAGCCACCCCAGCCTTTAGCAACCACCACCCTGATCAATCAGCAGCCAACAACATCAAGGGAAAACCCTGTACCATCAAAAAAAGACTACAACTCACTGAAGGCTCAGATAATCATTAGCATCTTTTAGCAATAGAATTTTTTTATTAATATATGTATGTTAAGAAATAATGCTATTGCGTATTTAATAGACTATAGTAAACATAAGTTTTAGGCATACTACTTTCCCAGTGCACACAAAAATTTGTGTGATTTGCTTTATTGCAATATTTGCAATATCTAAAAAACCTATTGCAGATATGTCTGGAACCAAGCGTATAATGTCTCTGAGGTGTGCCTCTATATGATGGGCAACAGTGCATGTGAAACATCAGAACTCGAGTCATAGCCCAATTACAGACGACTTTCACAGCGATCAAGTGTCTCAGAGGTACAAAGCACAGTGTGCATTCAAAAACTCAGCAGCCTTTCCCTCTCCTGCCCCAGCATGCTATAATGACCTCCTGGGGGTGGCAGTACTACAGTCAGAAGCGCTGACCACGTGCTGGTTCCCACAGGTCTTGGAGGAGCTGTCTCAGTGTTGGGTTTTGATGGCTGCCCCTGGCTGTAGAGCTCTCAGCAATGGGAACTCTGCCCTCCAAGAGTTCACCAGGATCTCAGACTCTAGTGTAGCTTACCAGGATCCTAAGCTGGGCTAACACATCTTTTTTATTTGCAGTACATTGTAAATTATTTCTGCTTTACAAATGTGTCACCATATTCTATACTTTTCTTATGACTGAGAATTATTTTGTTAAAAGATATAATTTTTAAAATATAAAATATTTTTTAAAATTATTTCTTAAGTAAAGTAGGACTGTTTTTTCTTTTTTGAGAAAAGACATGTTTTCTTGTTAAAATGCCAGGCTGTAAATAATGTTCCAAGACTTGGCCTGGTTGAAAGATTCCCTACTGTAATAATCAAAATTCAGCTGAACCTTTTGCAGCTCTAAGATTTAGCATCATTAGTGATAAACTCTCTTTATCAGATGTCTCACAGCTAGACTAAAAATCAGTCACAGTAACAGCAGCCCATAGTTCCTTGTCTTATTCTAACTAAATTGTCCCTAACAGCTTAAAAATGAGCTACAAAATTCTAAAGTGATTCATGCTCTCTTCTGCCCCCATCACGGGGGGACTTTTTCAATTCTGCAATCCGGTTGCAACCCCATACTGAACTCTTGATCCTTCACTGCAGAAATTTGTTAGCTCTAGCTAGATTAGATTTTTCACAGCTAATCTAACTGCTGTAGGGGTTTGCAGAGTGGGGACAGAGCTGTGCTATTGGATTTGTCCAATTCATTTGACTCCAGGACTATAATTGCACTTATGTCTTACAAGGCTTTTATAGCCTCAGGCTGGCCAGCCACATAAAAAACAAATTGGCAGTGATACAGTACGAGTGAAAAGGGATGAAAGGCCCACATTATCAGTCTCCAGGCAGCGCTGTTCTGGCAGGAAGTTTCTTGGTTAATTTACAAATAAAACTTAGATTTTAGGATGGGCACACTGTCAGCTGAACAATGGGGATGTCAGGCCTGACTGTTACTTAGTAAAAGTAGCAGCCGGGCCCACTGAGGAGCAGGAATTCTTCAATCAAACAGACGACTCCTTCTGGAGCCAGCTGGCGATGTAATGCAATTAGTCGAGAAAGGAGGTCAGCCTATTAGGTGTGTACCATGACCAGTGTCACCAGTGGCGTGCAGCCTGGCAGCAGCAACAGACAGAATGGCTTAGGCAAAGGGACTTTAAAACTCTGTTAGGATGAAAAGTTGTGGAGCCGGGATTGATTTCTTAAGACTTAAAATCTGAGCATTTGTTCTGAGCCTGATGAGTCTCCAGGCATTCTGGAGCTTGTGCAGTTGAAGGAGTAGCTAACATAAACACCGGCTCCATTCCAGGAGACTCATCATTCTTCTCCAGTTACATAGGAACCAGATCAACTTGACTTGTATGCACTCACTGAACTCACTGGTGGGTTTCTAATTTGAGGGCCTCTAATCACAGTTCTTTAATATTCACAAAATTAGGTCTCTGTGATGGACTCTTCTTTAAATTGGGCAACACTTTGAGGTGTCCAGAGTATTCTGTATGTTCTGATGTGGTTGACAATTTGCCCAGATGAATTTTATTTATTTTACCTACCTGTTTTCTTATAGGCAACAGAAGCCATATTTTTGCCCTTTACTCCAGATTTATCAGCCAGTTGTTCCCATGGCCTTAGCTTTTAGTTTTGTGATTTAGCTAATTAAACTGTGACGTATCCAGAAGTCTGAGTCACATGTCACTGAAAGCAGCTTTGAGATGATGAATATATCATATCATTACCACACAAAAATAGCTTTTCCTTAGTGACAGAATTGCCACACTGGGAGGATGGGTCTATTAGTGTGAAACTACCCTCCCTTGCAGTAGTTCTGAGAATACAGATGCAAGTAAAATTAAGAGATACTTAGGTTATGTAATTGAGTAACCCAATTTAAAATGGAAAAGTAACTACAAAATTTCAATAATCATGGTATTACCTCACAGTTAATGTTTTGCAGCTAATACTTGTGGATCAAAAGGAGCTGTCACAGATACTAGAGCACCCACATCGGGTGGTGGCAGCACGTTTGAGGGGTGTTTAGTAATTTAGCCATTAGAAAGTCATAGATACCATTAAATTGTTCTGGACCATCATGACTTGTGCTCAGCACCCGCAGTTTCCATTCAGACATTTGTGCAAGCATTATACCAAGGGACCCAGAGCCACTCTGAAGCTGGCTGTCTTTGCAGGGTGAGGGCCGTAAGTGTGAACTCTGGGATAGCCCCAGTTCTCACAATTGCCTTCTGCAGGTCTTAATTCCCCTTACAGTTCCAGTTAGAACTATTCATATTTCCCTGAGAACATACCTATATTAGGTTCTTGATCATGCTGGCTACCATGTTTTTACTTCAAAAGGACCGAATTTTAGGAGTGTATTGTAATGTCTTTGCATGTTTTATTAAAAAGAAAAGAAAAGCTGTAGCAAATATAGGAATGGAGAAATAGAAAGAGCTGTTCAGCACTACTAGGAGGCCCGGTGTTGTATTTTGTTTAAAACTATGTAAGGGGTTGGCTACACCTTTTGCCTGCTATTCTTTTACCTTTATATGGGAAGGGGGAAGGAAAAAAATGATGTACTGGGTAATTTTGCCATTAGAAAGTCATAGATACCATTAAATTGTTCTGGACCATCATGACTTGTGCTCAGCACCCACAGTTGCATTTGTCTCAGAGCCCACATTCAAACACAGTTGAATCGTGCACCCCTCAGTATAGGTACAATGGTATAGGCACAGGTCACTTTTTAAATAATTGGCCGTACAGTCATTCCCAGAACTATGAGAGTGAAGAGTAAACAGGCATTGGAGCAAATGAGCTTCCTTTTGTAGCCTTATAAATAGAAAAGAGGCTATGTTGGGGTCACCTGAGATTTTCTTTTTGTGGTCCAATAGTCTAAAGAAAATTGTATTTATGCTAACACGTTTTAAATACATAGTATTCCAGAACATCTTTTTAAAAAATACTTTAAGATAAAACTAAAAATGTTAGATTTGACACATCTCTATTTTATTAAACTGCTTCTGAATTTAGTCATTTTTAATGTTCATCTGTTAGATAAGGAAGCAAGAAATACTTGTTCGTGGTGCTGGAGAGCATCCTTCTGCAGTTCCATGTGAGAGAACGAGAATCTCAAATTCCCAGAAGATGTCAGAGGACCTTACCAGCCTTTGTGGTTTCAGAACTTCAATTTTGGCCAACATTTTAATCTTTATAATCTAGTTTATTTTAGTCACACTTTGATTCTTTGTCACTTAAATGATTTCGTGTGCAGCTTTCTCCAGCTTGAGATGGTACAGTCATCGTGCAGGAGATTGATTAAGGGTGTTCTTACACCTGACAAAGCCTGGGCCTGAAAGAACTCTCAAGAGGTCTTGTTTTGGAGATCTTTCTAGTAAGGCCTCCTCAAAGAGGCCAGGAGTCTGTGATTTGCTTTTGTTCTTTGCAGACTCTTTGTGTATAAGATGATAAAACAAGTGGGCTACACTGCTAAGCAATGACAGTAAAGTAACTTTGGGTGCAGGCTTAGGTAGCTTTGAAACAGTGAAAATGACCCTGAATTGGAAGCCCCAGTGCATGTCCCGGGCCTGCTCTGTCACTGCTGCTCATGCAGCCTCGGGTAGGTGTGCCTGCACCTTCCTGAGCGCCCATTTCTTTTTTGTACGATAAGATGAAGATGATGTCATCTACCTCAGAGAGTTAATGGGAAGATTAAATGAGACAATATGTGTGAACATGCCTTCTATACAGTAAGCACTCTTTAAATGCTAGGTAGGGGTATTCTTATCAGACTTAAGCAACAGTTATTCATTTCCTAAGCAAAGGTAATTTTATACATCTTTTTCTTAAAGGTTTGTCACAAATCTAGTTTCTTATACATTTGATAACAATTGTGTTGTAATGGCTTATGTTCTCTTATGTTCATATTCTTATGTTCATAGTAACCATTGAATTGAGAGTCTCATAAAGCACAACTGCAATGTGGAATAAAAGACGCATGCTGTTAATTGTTTAGAAACATATTCAGCAGTACAAAGCATAGGACTCTGATGCAGGAGTAAATTCTGCATTGGAAAATAAATTCTTACAAAGACCTCAGCCCCATCCAGCTGTAATGTGCCTGCGAAGCTTGCATGCCTTATCTTAGTACCAACGCACTAAGAAGATAGGCTGTGTTTTTATGTACTTGTGCTTTGTAAAATCCTCACAGAAGAACATCAGTGGTGTAGTCTTTTTTGATAGTGAACTTTTTTTGGCCTTTGAGTTTTATAATTCAATTTGTAAGCCATGACCCCTCATAAACTGCTGTTATCACCCTGATTAATAAAGAGCCAATTTGCTTTTGCAGCTTCGTCACTTGGGGAATGACGAGGTCCATATTGTCTGGTCTGAACACTCCAGAGACTACCGCAGGGGTATTATCCCAACCGCCTTTGGAGATGTTTCAATCATTATTTACCCAATGAAGAATCACATGTTCTTCATCGCGATAACGAAGAAACCTGAGGTATGTCGTTTTTATTGCATTGTTGTACTGACTCATACAGCATTTGCCGTGTGATTCACTGTCATTGAAAATCAATGATACAAATATGTTAAAAGGGACTCTCATCCTGTTGTTGAATGTCTTACATGTATCTGAATTATGCATGCTTTATAGGAATTAAATATGAATTGGGATTTTCAAAGAATTTTTCATCATGAGCACAACGTTTTGTTATTGTATTACTATACCTCTTTGGAAATTATAATGTCAAATTTATTATTTTGTAAATGCTTTACGTTTTCTAAATTTTGTACTTTTGAAAAATTGTAACTTGAAATTTTGGGTATGTTGATTAATAATAAGAGTTGAAGGAACCCCATATCACATCTAGCATTTTGTGGAGAACCGTGGGTATGGAATCCAAGCTTGCCTGGTGTACAGGCACTTGCCAAACCTCTGACTGTGCTAATGGGGTCAGTCCTGCAGGATTGCAGTCATGTCCACGAAGAGGCTGGGCCTCTAGAGCACGGCCCATGTGATGAGTTTCAACAATTGGAGCACCTTGCTGCAGAATCAGTTCAGCCATGTCAATTGGTATTGATCATGGGAAGAGCTGGAACAATCCAATGATCTGTGTGCTGTGTACTAAATTGGCTGCAGTTTCGATCCTTGTCATACCTTTAGTGGTATTTTAGCCATGCTTTATATAGCAACTTGTTTTTGTTTTAGAATTACTAATAGAAGGGTGTTTTTAAAGTTCTTAAACATTAGCATATTAAGCCATCTCTCAAGAGGAATGACTTTGTGTTTTTCAGCTTGATAGTAAGTATAATCTTCATTTTCATTTCAAGTTGTTCTCCTGAAGGAGCTGAAAGTTACGCTTCTGAAAACTCTCTTTTAAAGCTTTGAAATAATAGACAACAGATTTATTGTTCATATTAGGATTTATGACCTAATCTAAAGGGTTAAAGTTGTGAGGATTAAATGAACTAATAAGTAGAAAATGGTTCAAACAGTGCATGGTCCAGAGTAAAAGCTACTTAAGTGTTAGCTATTATTCTTCTTCTTATTATTGTTGTTGTTGTGTTGCTTGTTATGACTACTATGGAGAGAGAATACTTAATGAATTCCAGGTTTAACATGCTTATTATTCTCAGAGTAGATGCAGTGTGGGTCAACTCCTGAATTCATAAAAGTCCCATTCTGGCTGTTGCAAAGCCTGACATAAAGGGAACCCTCTTTTCTATTCAGGGAACGCAGATGCCAAAAGTCACTTCATATTAAATATTTGCATCATTTTTTATTCTGATGTCCATGTGCGTAAAGTTTTCGGTTTTGTGTATGAAAATGTCTCTTAGTGCTAACATTTGTATTTGTCCATGAAGAACACTAGTTTAAAGAATTAAACTGAAAATTTTAATATAAGGGAACCAGTGAATTTAGTGTCTTGTAGCTTGCAAAAAGAGGAAACGTGTTTCTTTAATATTTAGTATGGATTAATTGGCTTTATTAGCTCATTTTCAACATGGGCCTCTAAAATGTCATTTAATGTCACCTTTATTTTTAAATAAAAAACATACAAGGCATTTTAATTCACTTTATAGAATCAAAAGTGATTTTTTAAAAAGGTAGTACATTGATAATGCATGAATATAATTATTAACATACCTTGTAAACTTTCTTATAAAATGTTTGCACATTTTATGAATTTGGCTATAAATTCTAACAAGATGAATTGAGCAAATCGCTTTCTTAATATTTTAATTCAAAAAGCCTAAAGGGAAGAAGAGAATAATGGCCAACTGGAAATTTAGTATTATCCTTACATTTAAAGTACAAACCATTACAATGTAATAAAATTAATCCAGACATTTCCAGGGCAAGTGTGGCTGACCTTTTGTTCACCAACCACTGACCCCAGGGTGAATGCAAGAGGCTTGCGGAGGGAAAGTCTGTTTGTTTGGCTTCAGTCCCTGGTATTTAAATTGCATTCCCTAATCAAATGAAAAGGCTGTCCTCTCTATCAGGTTACAGAATCCATGGCAACATTTGGCCTTTTATATCCATAATGTTAGCCTTTTTGTTTGCATCTAAGTAGAGACACCTGGAGCAATGTTAACATTAACCGATTTAGCATTAATAGCTTCATTATATAAGAATTTCTGATCAGATAGCTGTTACTTTTGTTATATTGCTTCAGCTTGTATTGTTGTCATTTTTTATCTCCCTGCTTGGCAACCAGGCAATGATTTGCAAATTTTTTTTGTCTTGATTAATTAAGCAATATAATTATCAGTAACCGTGATGCAGTCTTTGCTCAACAAAGCTTCTGAGAGAAAACAATGGTAAGTCTGTTAGTATGAATGCATTCCACGCGTCCCAGATGCATGAGGATATTATGGACAATGAGGGGAAAGGCCGCCTGTGAGCGAGGACAAAGGGTGCCACGCAGACTCGACACACTGCACATACCGCCAGGGACATGCTGCGGGCTCCCTGGGACACAGACGCCTCGTTAGATTACAGCTAGTCAGCAGAGATTAATTCTCAGCCATTTGGTGCAATAATTTACCCATTCCCCAGCCTTTTAACTAGTGTTCCTTACTGTGGAAGGGAAGGCTTTGTACTCAAAAGGTTTATTTAACCTTGCCTACTTTTAGGGATCTCCACCAAAATCATTAATTTTTTCTTAGAAATTGTAATGACGCAGCTGCTTGAAGTTAAGGAATATTCCTTTTGAAGGACAGGATATGCATAAGTTTCCAAAATTGTAGGTAGAGTCAAAGGCATTCTTCTAGCACCTGTATATTTCATCTGAGTATAGTATGACTCTGTGGTCTAAGTACATTTATTTTACTGTTCTCTGGGCAGCCATGCTTCTCTAAGAATAATTTTAATCCTTTTTTGGGAGAGAGAAAAAAAAAAAAACCTCATCAGTACACAAAAGTCTTGCTCATTGGACAGAGTCATGCATATTCAAAGTGTACTTTCATTCACTCGGCCTCATTAATAGCGTATGTAATAATGTAGGGCTATTTGTAATACAAGCTTACAGGCAGCATTGCTTCCAAGTCCTTTGAAATTTAACATATTTCGCTTTTTCATTCCATACACCTCCCTTAAATATACAAATTATGTGCCTGGCAGAATCCGCCTCCTCTTAATAATACACAGCATTTGTGAAATGGTATGTTGAAGAAGTGTGGGTGTGCTTGTGTGAACGCATAAAACCCTCTCATCTGAGAGGGCCTGTTCACTTCTTGAGCTTTGGATTGAACTTCTTTTTTTCATTAAAAAAAAAAAAATCAGTGTGCTTAGCAGCATCATTCCATTGTTGAATTACTTTCAAAATAAGTCCATCTCCATAAACATTGAGACAATCGTTCTTTGGTCGTAGAAAAGAAATGTGTTATTGTTAGACTTATGTTTTTTCCAGCTTTTATTACTAAGTCAGCAGTCAAGGAAAGACTTGCATATAGAGTAGAAAGTGAGTGATTCAAGGGGTTTGTTAAAATGCCCGAGTTGTTCTTCAGAAAAGTGATTCATAGAGCCTCCACACTGCAGTGAGTACCCACGCTGCTTTCCCTCCCTTTCAGTATCTGGAAAGTAACACTGGTGTTCAAAATGTTTGCCTTTAGAAATTTGCGAAGGTAAGTTTTAGTGGTTTGGGCATGTTTGTTTCCAGGCATAGTAGTGACTGACTGGTGACCGGTTGACCAGAGGGTAGATGTTGAGAAGCAGCCTTGAGCAGGAACAGTTGAGACAAGAGGAAGTTTTGGTGAAGTGTCCTCCTCTTCACCTCAACCAGAATGTCCCTTTTGTAAATGGAAAACATGCTAAAGTCCTCTGAATTCTGCTTACTCAGCCCTGGTACACATGGGCATGGAGAAAAAAATGATAGTGATTCAATGATTTCTGAAAAGCATAGGAGGGAAAGTAGTAAGACAGGAGATGGGACCCCAGAGTTATGGTTCTAAGCCTACCGCAAGATGGTAGGTGTCTTGGGCAGATCTTTCCATTTCTTTGAACCTTAGCTTCCTCAGCTGTGAAGTACTGGTTGAGAATCAAGGCTTCTCTGTAGTCCTTAAAGGGATTCTAAATACCTTTTTTTTTTTTTTTTTTTTTGATCCTTTTGTTCCTAGCTGCCCGTACCTTTCCTTAAGTAATCCTGACTATCCCCAGAGCTTCATGGAAGTAGTCGCTGGCTCTCTTGAAGGTTCAGCAGCTGTTGTGAGTGAGTGAGAGTGTGTGGGTGTGGGTGTGGGGGTGTGTGTGTGTGTTCATTCGTGTGTTCGTGTGTGTTCATGCATCCCTCTTTAGGGTGACATCTAGCCCAGGACCTGTACCTGGAGCAGGTGCCCAGAAATGCTGGGAAAAGGCTGATGTGCCAGAATTTACAAGAGCATTTGCACATGGGAGGCTGAGAGGAGCCTAGGATTGGCACTGAGTTTGAAAGGAAGTCTTTTAAGCTTACTAGTGTGACCTCATGCTATAGGGAGAGTGTTTGACTTTGCAACATGGTTATGTAAATTTCTTTCTTTTCATTTTATATGTGCAGGTTTTCTTAAATATTTATCCCAATCACAGCCAACTAACCTGTTTAAGATTAAATCATGCCCTTTAAAATGCTCTGGGAACTTCTCAGGGAAAATAAATTGTTAACCTTTGAATACACAAAGAATTATTTATTTAGAAAAGATCATTGAAAATACCAAACAACCAGAATGTACTAAAATAGGTTATTAAATGGATTACTATGTTATGTTCTGTTTGGATAATTTATTATTATTGTTATTAGCATTATTTTTAGTAAAGGAATGACACTGAGAACTATGTGGAAAGGCATCTGTCATTTGCAGATGTTAAATTAAAATCAAATTTCTTCTCTAATTCATTGCCACTTCTAATTAGAGGAATTCCCTAGATACAAGGGATTTGTATTATTCCTTTTGTCCAGTTTTTGAAAGACTGAGTCACCCACGAACAGTTGCTGAAGAATACTAAAGAACGTTTATTTATAC